CCACCTCGCTGCTGTGTGTGTTCATGAGTTTCCGTTTTCTATCCCACATCTGAGTGAGATCATATGGTTCTTAGCTTTTTCTGACTGCATAACATTCTCAAGGTCCATCATGTTGTTGTGAATGGAATTATTTCATCCTTTCTCTTGGCTGAGTAGTATTCCATTGTGTGTATATACCACATCTTAAAAAAAATTTTTTTTAAATCCTCACCTGAGGTTATTTTTCCATTGATCTGTAGAAAGAGTGGAAGAGAGAGGGAAACACAGAGTCAAATATCAATGTAAAAGAAACACATTGGCCGGGACCGGTTTGGCTCAATGGATAGAGCGTCGGCTTGGGGACTGAAGGGTCCCGGGTTCGATTCTGGTCAAGGGCATTTACCTTGGTTGCGGGCATATCCCCGGTAGGGGGTGTGCAAGAGGCAGCTGATCGATGACTCTCTCTCATCGATGTTTCTAGCTCTGTATCTCTCTCCCTTCCTCTCTGTACAAAATCAATAAAATATATATTTAAAAAAAGAAAAAAAGAAAAAAGAAACACATTGACCAGTTGCTTCCTGCATGAGCCATGAGGAGGGCCTAGGCTTTTATTAAGTTGAGGTACTTTCCTTCTATTCCTATTTTATTGAGTATTTTAATCATAAATGGGTATTGTATTTTATCAGATGTTTTCCCTGCATCTGTTGATAAGATTATATGATTTTTATCCATTCTTTTGTTAATGTGATGTATTCTGTAATTGATTTGTGTATGTTGAACCATCCTTATGTCCCTGGAATGAACCCCATTTGATTGTGATGTATGAAATGGTGGATGTACTGTTGTATCAGATTTCCTAGTGTTTGGTTTAGGATTTTTGCATTTGTGTTCATCAGAGACATTAGTCTGTAGTTTTCTTTTTTTATCATCTTTGCCAGGTTTTGATATCAGGGTTATACTGGCCTCATAGAATGTGTTAGGAAGTATTACCTCTTCAATTTTTGGAAGAGTTTAATATGGATAGGCTTTAAACCTGCTTTGAACATTTGGTAGTATTCACTGGTGAATCTATCTGGTTCTGGACTTTTTGGGGGGTATGTTTTTGATGTTTGTTTCAATTTTCTCACTGTCAATGTGTTGTTGTTTTTTTGCTATGGGTTATTTTGTGTGTGTGTGTGTGTGTGTGTGTGTGTGTGTGTGTGTGTGTGTGTGTGTATTTTTTAAAGTATATTTTTATTGATTTCAGAGAAGAAGGGAGAGAGAGAAACATGAATGATGGGAGAGAATCATTGATCAGCTGCCTCCTGCATGCTCCACTCTGGTGATCAAGCCTGCAACCAAAGCATTCCCTGACCCGGAATCAAACTATGACCTCCTAATTCATAGGTCAATGCTTAGTTACTAAGCCATGCCAGTCAGGCCCTTATGTATTTTTTGCATTAACCCCTTATCTGATAGTAAATATGTTTTCCCATTCTGTGGGTTGCCTTTTTATTCTCCTAATTGTTTCTTCTGTTATGAAGAAAAGTTTTAGTTTGATGTAGTACCAACCACTTGTTTATTTTTTGTTTTGTTGCCTTTGCTTTTGGTGTCATATCCAAAAAATCTTTTTCAAAATTAATGTCAAGGAGCTTCCCCCCTATTTTTCTTTTAGAAGTTTTATGGTTTGGGGTATTATATGTAAGTGTTTAGTCCATTTTGAGTTAGTTTTTGTGAGTGGTGTGAGTTAGAAGTTCGTTTCATTCTTCTGCGTGTGGATAACCAGTTTTTCCAGCACAGTTTATAGCAGACTGTCCTTCCTCCCATTAAATCCTCTTGGCTCCCTTGTCAAATATTAGTTGACTGAGTAAGTATGCGTTTATTTCTCGGCTCTTGATTCCGTTCCATTGGTTTGAATTTATTTTTATGCCAGTACCAGACTGCTTTGCTGACTGTAACTTTGCAATATAGTTTTACATCAGGCAGTGTGATACTGTCAGCTCTCTTCTTCCTCAGCATTGCTTTGCCTATTGAAAGCCTTTTATAGATCTCTATGAATTTTAGGATTGCTTTTTCTATTTCTTTGAAATATGTATTATAGATGGCTTTGGGTAGTATGAACATTTAACAATATTAATTCTTCCAGGCCATGAACACAGGATGTCTTTCCATTTATATGTGTCTTCAGTTTCTCTCCAATATTTTATAATTTTCAGGGTAATGATCTTTTACTTTCTTAATTACATCTATTTCTAAGTATTTTTAAATTTTTAATATTTTAATTTTAGTGATTATGTCTTTGCTGCCAACCCAGTGATGCCTTGGGGGACTGATTAAATGTGCAAGTCCCTGCCCTGCCCCTGCACAAGACCCTTGTCTGGTGCACAAGCAGGGCCCCATGTCTACTTCCATGGCTTCGCTCTTTGTCTTATCTTACCCATCAGTCATTTCAGTTCTGCTCCTGTGGGCCTTTCCTCACTTCATAGCTGTACACTCAAACACTGTTCACAGTTATCCCAAGTAGGATTTAGGCAGAGGTCCTGAGGGGGCTCTCTGCTTGGGCATTACTGGAAACATCTGTTTCTGATTGCTTGGAGGCACCTTCTGCTTACTCCTGGGCTTTGGCTCCATTCTAGAAAATTGCTGCTGCTGTGTGTTTCATGCCCTACAACCCACAGAGACAGTTTTCCAGGGGCCTTTTTTGGCAGAGTGGCTTGAAGTGGGCCTTGCCAGCCGGAGAAGACCTCCCACGTCTCCTGCTTTTCTAGGCTGTGGCTGCTCTGTAGCACATGCCACCTCTGCCCAGGGCATTGCCAAGCCTATGTAGCTGAGCCCTGGAGTATCTGACTTTAAAGTCTGCTCCAGGGAAGGAGAAACCAAGATGGCAGCATAGGTAAACACCTGAAATTGCTGCCTCACACACCACTTCAAAACTACAACTAAAAAACAAAACAGACATCATCCAGAACCACAGGAAGGCTGGCTGACTGGAAATTCTGCAACTAGAAGGGAAGAGAAAAGCACACTGAGACTCAGAGGAGGTGCGGGAGTAAAGTATGGAAGCATGGGGGGGGGGGCGCGGGGGGAAGGGCTGGCAACTGAGGACGCTGCTGTCTTTTTCAACCGGGAGGGAGACACAAGCTCCCAATTGCTCTGAACTCCAGTTCCAGGTGAGACTCGACTCATATGGGGAGAAACTGGACTGTCTGGCAGCGGGCGGAACTCAAGGGTGGCTTTCTCTCAGAGGTGCTTGCAGCGATTACCATGGGACAGTGAGACTCAGGGGCCTCTTAGGGCAGGGCTGAGGATCAGCCATAGCTGTTTGCTCCACCCTGTTAATTCCCTGAGATCCCGCCCATCCTAGGTATGCGCAGAGGCTTTTGCATATGAATGGCCTGGCCTTTTGCCATTTAAAATTACCTAACAAACTGCAGCTGGGTCACAGAGACCCAGAACATACAAAAGAAGGCCAAAGGCCCCACAGCAGCTTGCATTGCTTCACAGCTGAGCCTCATCTGGGCACCTCCAAACCCCAAACAAAGAAGAGGAAACTGCAGATCTCTCTGCAGCTCCTGCTGGGTGGCCTCAGGCAGAAGCTAAATTAATACCTCCTTAGAGTTCCAAGAGCCAGTGTATCCAGTGGTCAGAGTGGGACCATACAGATTACAACTCCTCAGATCCATAAGGGACACACTCAGGGGGCAGACTCAGGGAGCACCAAAGCCCCACTGAAGCAAGTCTTGCCGCATAGGGTTGTCTCCAGCACAGATTTCCCATCCTAAACACAACTGATTCTCACAGCCAATTGGCCTGGAGGTCAATTCTTCCCAGTGATACCAACAACAATCAGACTGTGTAAAGCCCACAAAGTGGTGCACCAAGAGTGTCCACCTCAGGTAAGTGGGGAGGCTGAGCCAGAAGAGAGAGATCAAGATACTGGAATCCTATTTGAAGAAATAATGTCAGAAAACTTCCAATATCTGGTGAAAGAAATAGACTTACAAGTCCAAGAAGCGCACAGAACCCCAAACAAAAGGAATCCAAAGAGGACCACACCAAGACACATCATAATTAAAATGCCAAGAGCAAAAGACAAAGAGAGAATATTAAAAGCAGCAAGAGCAAAGCATAATGCTTCCTGCAGGGACTGAGCTGTCCCGTCACTTGAGCATGTACTGCAGCCTGTGGAATGGCATCTCAGCATCAAAGTTCTCATTTACTGGCTCCTCCCCTGTGCAGGGCACTGTGCTAGGTGCTTCCGTGGCAGCATTACTATAGTTCTGGGAGGGAGTGCTCATGTGCCCACTTTACAGATGGGGAAGCAGAGGCTCAGAGACTTGCCCTGGACCACTCAGAGAGAAAGTGGTGGAGCTGAGATTCAAGTCCACACTGGCCATCTAGCCAGAACCCACTCACATCTGTGCTTTTCTAACAGGCTCAGGCCTGTGTAACTGATTGTCCCAGACGGGATGAGTGGGCAGGGTTTGGAAGGATGCATGAACCTAAAACTCTAATGGCAGCAGAAGCCCACAAACCAGTTATTAAAGGTGGAAAGTCATTTTCCGTTTTAGTTGCAAAAGCAGAGGTGTGGTGTGTGTGTGGGTGTGTGTGTGGGTGTGTGTGTGTGTGTGTGTGTGTGTGTGTGTGCTTCCTCATATTACTGGGGCAGACAACTCCTTGGGCAATTCTTATTGTCACAGCAGCCTTCCCTGTGACAGAGCATGTGTCCCATTGGCTAATGCCACACACTCAATGGCCCAGAGGGAGGACAAAGTGCTGATTTTCAGAGACCACTCAGTCATTTCATTCCCATTTTCCCTGCTCCGGTGAAAGTGATGTCTAAATGAACAACCAACGACCTGATTTCTGTGCGGGGCAGGCAGCAGGGGACAGCCTCCCCCTGAGGTACGCCTGGATTACTGGGTGAGGATGCGGTATGGTTAGGCTTGGTTCTAAAGGAGCTTGGCGGGGAGATGTTCGGGGGAAGGAAAAGGTGGAAACTCCGCAGACATGTGTGGTCACCTCTGCTCCCTCCGCACCAGGTGCTGGAGACCTGTGTGAAGAACTGCGGCCACCGCTTCCACATCCTCGTGGCCAACCGAGATTTCATCGACGGCGTTCTGGTCAAAATCCTCTCTCCCAGAAACAACCCGCCCACCATCGTGCAGGACAAGGTGCTGGCCCTGATCCAGGTAGGTCAGCTCCTCTTGGCTGTTTGTGGGCCCGCGGTGAGTCCTTGTGCTTGGCCATCCTTTGGAAGGAAAAATGGAGGCTTCTGGGTTTCGATGTTCATTGCATAATGCTTCCTTTCTACACTCATCCCCTGGAATGGAACCTCAAGTGCGGCTCTCCAGCCAGTTGACAGGGCTTCACGGCCCGGGTGCCTCGCCCGCTGCGGCCCACAGGGCAGGCGGAGCCTTGGCAGGACTCTGAGCCTCAGGGACAGGGTAGCATAGGCAGGGCCATGTCAGAGGAGCATGCAGGCTGCTGAGTTCCAGGGGCAGCTGTGGGGCTGCAGGGAGGAGGGGCCGGTGGTGTTGGGAGTGACTCGCTGAGGAGAGGAGGACTCCGTTGGACCCTGCAGGATGCTGAGGACTTGGTGGAAAGGGCAGAGTGGGAGAAGCATCACAGCAAAGACAATAGCAAATACAAAGGCCGGATGCGTCAGCAAGGGCAGTGACACGTTTGGGTGCATTATTATTTGCTCTGTAACAAACTATCTTGAGGTGTAGCATTTTAACATGGATGGTTATTGTCTCCTGTTTCTGTGGGTCAGGAATGCAGGGAAAGCCTGTTGGCGCCTCTGGCTCGGGGGCCCTCTGGAGGCTGCAGCGAAGGTGCTGCCAGGACTGCCTGGTCCAGCGCAGTGGGAGCTGCAGGAGCCTGGCCACGGGGCTCCCCATAGGGCAGGGCAGCGACTCAGGCCTTGCTGACCGCTGGGAGGAGGCCTGAGTTTCTCCCATGAGGACCTCCTGAGTGTCCTCATGACACGGCAGCCGGTTCTCCCAGAGCAGAGGACCCAGAAAGCGTGAGGAGGCTGTGGTGCCTGCTGGGCTGTGTCTCAGAAGTCACACTGCACCTCCGTGGCCAGTCTGTTTGTTAGAAGGGAGTCGTCAGGTCCAGCCTCAGGAGTGGGGAAGTTAGCGGTTCCTCTTAAAGAGAGAGGGGTCCAGACCGCCCCACGCAGATAGAGTGTAAGGAAGACTGTGGGCAGAAGACAGGACAGAGAGATAGTCAGGGCTTACGGGCCACATAGTACTGAGGAGCGTGTGCCTTATCCTTTGGGCAGCGGGAGCCCTTGGATGTTTCTGAGCTGGTTGAACAGTCAGATCTGGTTTTAGACCGACACCGTGGTACGTACGTGCGTCACAAAGCACATCCAGTGCGGGCGATTGGTGCTGTCGTAGAGCAAAGATAACCTGCAGTGCCATGAGGAGAGGGAAGAGAGCCGGAATGAGGGCTGGGAAGGCGGGCAGGTGGCTAGGGGCAGGCTTTGGAGGCAGTGTGGCAGCCCAGAGGAGAGAGGGGCCTGAGCCAGGGAGTGCTGGCTCTGTCCTGCCTGCGCCTGTGCCTGCATCCTCCCAGCATGTGGAACAGGGGATTTCCACACTCAGCTCAGAGCCTCCCACCACCTGGCTTGCAGGTGTCACCCTCTCTCCCGTCACTCTCTTATGCTCTTCACGTTCCTTCATGCCAGCTTTCCCACCACCTCCCCCTCTGAGCTCCCCGAGAGCTGGGCCACTTCATCCCCGTGGTCTCGAGCACTTGACCACAAACCCTCATTCTGGGATGCCCAGCTCACTCCCCTGCCCCCGGTATTTGTATCAGGAAAGTGAATGGGGACTTTTTCTTACAAAACCTAGGACATCTCGGCCTAAGCTGTGCATGCCCCCAGTTACACAGGGGAGGTCTCTGGAGTCAGACTGGAGTCCTTCTTGCGGCCAGACCCAGTGGCTGTCAGCTGCCCCTGCAAGCACAGCACAGTGAGACCATGATCCCCACTTCTTCTGCTGACTGTGGCCCCTGGCTCTCCCTGGGGACACCAGCCCGGCACCCCACCCCTGCCCGTCAGACTCACTGCCTTCCCAGCACTGCTTCTTCCCAGCGGCAAACCTCTACCTGCTTGTGTGTAAAATGGGCCTGCGTTCCTGCCTTTGTTCTCCAGCCCTGCTCTGTGCGATGGTCCGAGCAGCCCGTGGCCACATCCATGCTCCGAGGGCACATGGCAGCAGCATGTGCTCCGCCGCCAGGGACTGCTGGGACTGGCCTCGAGGTCCCGCTGAGAAACCCCCAGGGGCTTCAGATCAGGACACGTCCCGTGGGCTTAGTAACCTAACGGGCAGTTCTCCTGCTCAGCGTCTGAAGCTTCCTAAGAACTTCGTCGCTCATGGCTAATAACGGAGACGTGCAGGCAGCATTCCGAGTGGGGGTGGTTTGGCTTGTCATGGGGTGGAAAAGGAATAGAAAGATCAGCCTTTTCTTTTACTTTTCATTGATCTGTATATACAGGAAGTCACATACTTGAACAGCATATACAACTTGATAAATTTTTATACACTGAATATACCATGTAACCAGCATGGGGAGTCGGGGGGGCCATCCCAGGTGTGAGGCTTGGTGGGTGTGCGTCACATTCCGCTTCACAGCACAGGCTCTCCCGTGGAGCTTCACCTGCAGTCTGTGCCAGCGCTGCTCTCTGTGTGTCTGTGTGTCCGGCCGCTGCCTGTGAGGCCTCACCGCGCACGGGGTGACCACGGCCCCCTTTCCCACCGCGCACCTTCCTTCTGGGCCTGCAGGGGGGGGGGGGTTCTTAGCATCCTCCACTACAGAGGGCGCTTGCTAGTCAGGGCTGGTACGAAAGGTGCTCCTGGGAGCCTCTAGCAGGTGTCCTTTGGTGACATGTGTCACTTCGTTGGGTATCTGTTGGTCCAATAGGTGAAACTGCCATCTTTGTTGGTCAGAATGGTAGAATATTAGCAATTTCAGAGAGTTCAGCCTCACAGCTAGGTGTGCCGTTGCTGGTGGTAGAGAGGGCCCACGCACTGGGTGATAGTGCTATGACCTCTTCACGCCCTCAACAGTGGGCGGCATCTTCTTCATCACAGTGCTTCTGATGAGTATGCAGAGGCTGCCACTCTTTGAAAAGAAAGTGATTTTATTTGCATATTAAATGTACAGAAAGCCTCCCAGAGAGTCTGGTCATTCCCCCTGGGAGAGCAAGTGCTGCTCACGCCGAGAGACAAGGAGGGGCTGGGGTGCCAGGCCGCTGGCTCTCTGGCCGGCGTAGGAGTGCACCAGGCCCTCATGTCAGTGCAGCTGGAGTGAGTGTGGGTGCAGAGCCACACTGTGGCCACTCTCCCTCCCGGACCCTGCTTTCTGCTCTCCGCGCCCAGCTGCTGGGAAGTGGGCCGGCCAATCCCGTGTGAGGGCTCAGTGGGCCATCCCCGCTACGGGTGGTGGGCTTTGTCTCTTGGGAGGGAGCCCGTCTCCCTGGTCGCCTGGAAGGAAAGATGCTGAGAGCAGAGCGGCCTCCGAAGCAGCTTGCCAGCTCCGTCACTCCTGATTCTGAACTTCCTGCCACTCCAGCTTTTCCCTCCTTGTGATCCGTGGCTGGCCTTTTGGCTGCGTTTCTTTCCGTTTCATGCCATCCCTCAGCCTTCCCTGGTGCTGTCTGCAGGAACAGCAGTGAGAGCATCCTGCTAGCGAGGCGTCAAAGCGTACTGAGGGCATGCCTTCGCTGCTCTCCGCCCGCCCCGCCACCGCAGCAAGGGTCTGAGAGCACAGTGGGACCTCGGTTCTAACTTAACTTGTTCCTGAAGGCTGTTTGAGAAGCAATTTGTTTGAAAACGGAATCATTTTTGCCATTAGAAATAATGTAAACTGAATAGTCCAGCCCAGTCCACCATATGATTCCCTGTTTTAACCTTTCTTATATACAGTTTAACCTTTCTTGTGTACAGTACTATTTAATCTATAAATAAATATAAACAAAAAGGAAATGAAATTTACAGTAAAAAGTGAAACTTTACGTACACACTAGAACTGCCTTTAATGTTGCCAGCTACTGATGGCTGAATATGGGGGAGGGGTGGAGAGCTGGGGCGACATCGGGTGGAGAGGTGAGGGGAGGAGGGGTGTCATTGTTTGGAAGGGAAGGTGGCTATGTTTCTGGGGTTCTTTCTCTTCCCCTCTTTGCTTCAGGCTCACTGGGCCTCTGTCCCAGTAAAAACCACCCAATGATTGTGCTGCTGTTTTCACACTTTTCTGAAGGGAAACACTGCTCTGTCTCTGAACAAGTTCATGCACAGTTTGCTACTTCTTTGTCAGATTGTACATTCCCCAGCATTCCCTTGGTGCGCGCAGTAGGAATAGCCTCCCTTCCCCACACCTCCTCTGAAGGGGCTCCTCAGCTGCCGCGGCTGCTCCTCTGAAGGTCCAGAGTGGCCAGCTCAGTGCTGTGTCCTCCCCATCACCGTCCACTCCAAGCCACGGACCCGCCCAGAGACACAGTGTCCCCAGCAGACAGGCTCCCCTCACAGCCTCACAGGCTTTGGCACAGCTTCTTCCTGGCGATTGTGTGGTTCTGGAACTCTCCCCGTGCTCTGTCTGTGATCCTCAGTGAGTGAGGACATTCAGGTGTTCCTTTCAGCACCTCCTCAGGGTTCAGTCCGTGTCCACCTCAGAACACCCCTGGAACAGGGCCTTTGTGCGGAGCTCCTTAAGTTAGAAATGACCTGCTGGTCTGTGGGCTGGATTGGAAGAGTTGTTAGGTGGCGAGGACCCAGCAGGGGGGAGGCTGTGGGTGGCGAGGACCAGCAGGGGTGAGACTGTGGGTGGTGAGGACCCAGCAGAGGCGAGGCTGTGGATGGTGAGGACCCAGCAGAGGTGAGACTGTGGGTGGCAAGGACCAGGCAGGGGCGAGGCTGTGGACAGTGAGAACCCAGCAGTAACGTTGGCGGTGCTCCTGGCCGTGTCCCGCGATGACTTCTGCACGGTGGTCCTCGGGCATGTCCTCCCAGCGAGCCTGTCTCGTCACAGTGGAACACTTGTTGGAACAAACCCCTGGGCCTCCACGTATTCTAGAAGTTCTGTCAGGAAATCCTGAGCAGCTGCTTTGTTAGAGCGGCAGCCTCCCCATGCTCCCTCCCCGCGAGGCCACCTCCCCTTTCCCACCGCCTGGTGCCCTCCGCAGCCTCCGCCTGGTCCCGGGGCTTCGGAGGTCAGAGTGCAGGTCTGTGCTCTGTCACAGATCTTGCCTTTGAAATTTTGTCACTGGCTAAGTGCTTTTTGTTTATCCAAATCAACAACAGTTTCTCTAACTCTTTAGTGGCTACAGTTGTTTCCTGAGCACTTCCCCACCCGCAGCAACGTCAGCCTCTTCATGTTTTAAAGTCGTGCTGTTGGCCTGCCATATCGGTAGCCGGTCAGACACATGGATACCTCTGTCACACTTCACAGTTATTTCTTTTTTAAGCTCTGTTGTTGTTCTCACAACTTTTAAGAACATATTTTTAAATTACTTTTAGAGAGAGGAGAGGAGAGGGATAGAGAGATAGAAACATCGATGAGAGAGACACGTCGATTGGCTGCCTCCTGCATGTGGGGGATCGAGCCCATAACCATGTGCCCTGACTCAGAATCAAACTAATGACCTCTTGGCTCCTGGGTTGATGCCAGCCGGGCCTCACAACTTTCCTTTTTACTTTGCTGCTGTCACTCACACTCTTAGCGCCCAAGATAATTTACTGTAGGTGTTTAATAATAAGCAGCCACAAGACAAAAAAGCATGAAGATATCCACAGCACAGTTTCCTGAGATGTTAACAACACAAGGTTCAGCCGTCAGCTGACTCATACTCGTGCATTCTCTCCTTTGTTTGTTGCCTGGGAAACATGTGACTGACCATACAGGTAACTGGGTCAAAAATCGAAGTTTTGTTCAACAACCAAGATAATGTTTCTGTAACCAACTTGGTTCAGAACCAAGGTCTGACTGACAAAAGTTGCTGGGCTGGGGTGGGAAGCTTTTATGTTCTTAGAAGGTGTCAGAGAACTGATGGCCGAATCTGTGTGGACGGCAGCTCTCCAGGCCCTGCCACTGGGAACAGGAAGTTTGGTTCAGGGGAAGAAGCAAAAGATGACAGAAGCTTTATTTTGTCCAAAGAATAGAACCCATAGTTTAAATCAGTAATCGTTTATCTGAAATTTGATGATTTAAAATTGTCAAAACTTGAGGGATACGGTTCATGTTTTATAAGGTTTTAGTCTGGACTTTGGCATACAATCCAAAGGAACAAAGGAAATCCTAGCTAATAAAAGAGTAATATGCAGATTGACCATCACACCAACACACAAGATGGCTGCCCCCATATGATCAAAGATCCTGCCCCCAAGTGGACAACAAGATGGCCACCACAAGATGGCTAGCAGGGGAGGGCAGTTGGGAGGGACCAGGCCTGCAAGGGAGGGCAGTTGGAGGTGATCAAGCCTGCAGGGGAGGGCAGTTAGGAGTGGCCAGGCCGGCAGAAGAAGGAAGTTGGGGGTATACAGGCTTGCAGGGGAGCAGTTAGACATTAATTAGGCTGGCAGGGGAGTGGTTAGGGGGTGATCAGGCTGGCAGGCAGAAGCAGTTAGGGGCAATCAGGAAGGCAGGCAGGTGAGCAGTTGGGAGCCAGCAGTCCCGGATTGTGAGAGGGATGTCCTACTGCCAGGTTTAGTCCTGATCCCAGTGGACATCCCTTGAGGGGTCCCAGATTGGAGAGAGTGCAGGCTGGGCTGAGGGACACTCCCTCCCCCTCTGCACACATTTTGTGCACCGGGCCTCTAGTAAAAGCATAACTTTCTTTTTCCCCCTTAATAAACCTTTCTCTGGTCTTTCAACTCCCGACACTATAGGCGCACAGGCAGGAAAAGGAAGAACTATGTGAAGAGCAGGGAGGCAGCCACTGAGTCACTAGCCAACCAAGGCTGTCAGGGGGCCAGCACTGCTGGTCACTGCTCCCCAGTGGCTTTCCACCACCTCTGCCCCTGGCGGTTTCCGCCTTCCCTGGAACAGGTTCTCTGAGCCCTGGGCCACATCCCTGCTTTATCGTGTCACCACAGTCTGTTGCCAGCCAAAGTGGCCACCTTCCTTTGTTCTCTGAAGTAGGACAACGAGGTGCTTAGTAACCAGAGCACAGGAGTCAGTGCTGGCTGCTCTCCCTGAGCGGGGGCGGGATTCAGCCCCCGTGTGCCTTCAGAGGTGTGACCTGGTGGGAAGAAGACAGGAACCCAGCAAGATACTAGAGCACAGAGCATTGCTGGATGTCCCCCTCTCTGTTTCCCCTAGGGCTGTTCCTTTACAGGTGCCCCACCCCTGCCCGTCCCCTTTGGCACCACAGTCGTGCTCAGTAGAGAATGCACCGAACCTGCTCAGGGGCCCCACAGAGTGAAAGAGCAGCAGGTGGGATGACGCTGAGGCAGAGGCTGGAAGGGGTGGATTAGCCAAGGCTGCTTGGTTGCAAATAACAAATGCCAACTCCAGCTTGCCTAGGCAAAGAGGGAAGTTTGTCATGAAGAGGCAGGGCTACCTACAACCCTGGGGTGTGCAGGGACGGGGGAATGGACAGAGGGATCAGAAAATCCTCCAGATCTCCTGCCTGTCTCACCTCTAGGCACACCTGCTGCGGCTTCTCTGTACACAGGTTGGGGCTGGCACAGGACTGACTCCCAGGGCCACATCAGGCCCAGGCCAGACTCCTGGGAGGGGAGAAGCTGATGGGCCAACATGGGGTATGTCTTTCCCCTCCCTGCCTGGAGCCGGGGACCGGGGTCTGTTGACATGCTGTTTGGGCAGATGCCCTAAGAGTTCTCAGCTGACTGGAGAGAAGAGTGATGGTTTTTTAATCTTCATTCTTCTCCTCTCATAGCTGGATGGAAAGCGCCATGAATGACAGGGGCTCCCTGAGCTGTTTGCCCTCCCATAGAAACGCCTAGCGCAGCCCCAGGAGGAGCTGTCATGCTGCTTCTCCTCTCCCTCAGCAGCTGTGAAGCAAGGTGTGGGCGCTGGCGGTTAGGCCAAAACACCTGGAGTGAATCAGGTGGCTTAGGCCAAAGCAGCTGGTGGAAGATGGGGCTCGGGGCACTTCCCAGGGGGCAGGCCTCTTGTGACTGCTCCCCAGCTGGGATGCCGGGCAGGCCTCAGCAGGCACCTCTGCCCAACTCAGAATCCTGAGGGAAGTGTCAGCCAACCCAACAGGGGCTGTCCTGATGCAGTGTTAAACCCCTGAGTGCAAATTAAATGAGCGGATCAAGGAAGCCAGACTGACCGTATGTTTCTATTAGGTGCGATGCTCACTTGTAATTAACGAGGCATTTTGGGAGCTGACCTTTTCACTTCAGGTGGGTCTGCTGGTGAGATAGCGCTGCTCTGGCTGCCTCAGGATTGGCTGGAGCCGGAAGGCAGTTGAATGCTGGAGACAGCACAGAATTAGCACAGGCCCCTGGTCCCCGGGGCTCCGCCTTCCCCTGGGAGTTTGTAAGGTGACGGGTGACTGAAGAGCCAGGTCCCATTTGGGGGGAGCTGTTTGGCTATACTTTTAAAAAATGTATTCTGGCTCTAGCTGGTTTGGCTGAGTGGATAGAGCATCACCCTGCTCTATCCACCCCTGAAGGGTCCCATGTTCGATTCCAGTCAAAGGCCCATCCTTGGGTTGCAGGTTCCATCCCCAATAGAAGGCATACAGGAGGCAACTGATCAATGATTCTCTCTCATCATTGATGTTTCTATCTCTCTCTCCCTCTCCCTTCTGCTCTGAGATCAATAAAAATATACTTTAAAAAATAAAATGTATTCTGTAACTTCCAAAGAACAGATTTTTCTTAATTTTCTTAATTTTAAACTGTTTCATGAATCAGTGGTAAGAGGCAATCCATTTAAATCTGTGTGCTTTCATGCCGAAGCCGGTTTGGCTCAGTGGTAGAGCATTGGTCTGCGGACTGAAAGGTCCCAGGTTCGATTCCGGTCAAGGGCATGTACATTGGTTGCGGGCGCATCCCTGGGGGTGGGGGGTGTTCAGGAGGCAGCTGGTCAATGTTTCTCTCTCATCGACGTTTCTAGCTCTCTATCTCTCTCTCTCCCTTCCTCTCTGTAAAAAAAAAAAATCAATAAATATATTTTAAAATAAAATAAAATAAATCTGTGTGCTTTTCTCTCTGTGCTGTTTTCATGTAAAGGAAACTAGTGCTCATGCTTTCCTGTCTGTTTCTGTGGGCACATGTGTGTATGGGGGGCGGGCAGGAGCAGCACAGGCTTTCCTCCCTCCTGAGCCCCAGACACCCCAGACACCTGTAGGGCTCGCACCTGCTGAGGAGACCTAGAGGGTCTTTCTCAGCTACACGCCACTGTTGATTTGCCTGTGGTTCCTGCCTCCATCGATGAGAGCCCCGCACAGCAGTGTGGGAAACGGCGAGTGAACTTGTGGCATGGTGGTGGCCTCTGCTCACCCTTCAACTAAAATCACCAGGAATTGATTTACTTGCAATTAGGAAAATGCCTGCATGTTAGGATGCATTGCAAAGCTTGTATGTTATTTCTCTGTCTTCTCCAAGAAATACAGATGCTGAATTAAGTTTTATATTTTTGTTCATGCCCAACGCACTATTGAAAAACCAAGGTTTTGCCACCCACCTCATGGCAGTGCTGGCAGGGGAGAGGGACAGGGTAGTTAGCCTTTGGGGTCCAGGGATCACTGGCCGCTGAGAGAGCAGCTGGGCGGCGGTGGGTGTTCGGGCACCGTGACAGCCCTCGGGAGACATGCTTCCTAACAGGCCTCCTTATCCTTCCAGGCGTGGGCCGATGCCTTTCGAAGCAGTCCTGACCTCACGGGTGTCGTGCATATATATGAGGAGTTGAAGAGGAAAGGGGTTGAGTTTCCTAATGCGGATTTGGACGCTCTGTCTCCCATACACACACCGCAACGGGTAAGCTCCCAGCTGGCATTTTCTAGAAAGGCCTATTGCAGAACAGGCAACCATGGCCACCGCCCCTGTGCTGCTCCATTTGAATTATTCAGCTTGTCATCACGCTGTCTTGAAGCTCGAGGGCATTTCTCTTTAATAACAAGGGGAGTGCAGGAGTGAGACAGCTGGCTAATAGTGATTAAGTGGCTACAGTGTCTCTCCCAGTTTTCATCCTGCCTGTGGAAGAGCATAATGGAGGGATCATTTCAGACATTCTCATGGAAATGGCTGCTGGGGAAGCCATTCTCTGAGGGTCATTAGCACCTGCTCTTCAGAGACCCCAGGAATGGGTGGGGCCAGCATCCCCTGGAGAACAGGAGCACCTCGGTGTTGGCAGTGCAGAGATGAGTGTGCTACTGGGCTGGGCAGAGAGCAGCTTGGGGTTTCCCAGCTGTACAAGCTAACAGATGCTCTAAATGGATCCATTATCAAATGGCTCTAAAATTTACTGAGAGCTGGAGTGTTCGGCATCAGCCCAGACACCTTGGGATTCAAAGCCCATGGAAGGCCATGTAGAGGCCTGTCACGGATGCCCTCAATGCGGCCCTGTGCTGCCGAATTAAAAGCCTGCAGGAGAGGCTGGCCACCCTTCCCGGGAGCTAGTGTGCACCCTGTGGGCTGGCATCCGTCCTGCCTTGGGGAGCCAGGGCTCAGGACACTGCCTTGCTGGCCCGTATCACCCGTCTCTGAAATGGGGAGAGGAGGGCATCAGCCGGTGCAGATCTTGTCGTATGAACACCACTCACGCACAGGAGGTTATCGGGGATGCCCAAAGGGAAGCATGAGGAATTTTATTTTCCAGAGCAGTGTTTTCAGTGTGAGCTTTCAAACACTGTGCCTTGTGGAATAAACATAACCTGTTTTATTCTTCTAATAACTAGTGGCCTGGTGCACGAATTCGTGCACATTGAAAGGAAATAAATTAGAAGAAATACTTTAATGTTGCTATTCACCCTTTCTCTATAATAGAAGTGTTAATTAACTTCACAATCGACAATGATAGATTGAAACACATGCATGCAATTGGCGCCAGAGAGAGCTTTATATGTATTACGCATGCACAAGTCAACTTAGCCTTTTATAGATATAGAATAAACTTGCTTAATTAGACCTGCTTTCTGATGCAGCTAAACTTTTTCCAGCCCAGTGAAGCACCCCAACTTCTCTTTCAGGTAATTGTCAGCAACAAAACAATAAATATCAACACGAAGCAGATTATTGTTGTAGGTCACGCAGGGAGAACAAAGGGTAAAATATGTAACTGCAGCACTATATTCTGTGCAGTGAGAAAACCTGAAGTCATTTTCAAGGTCCACCATTTCTTTTTTTCAGTAGGGTCAAGTTTCTAAGCTTTCTAAATCTCCGTTTCCCAACTAATGAAAAGAAAATAGGATTCCCCTGAGTCTCCTATCTACGTACTCCAGGACTTCTGTGAGGATCACAGAAGATGAGGCATGGGAAAACGCTTCACAGACATTTGGTTAAACTGTGAAATGTTTGCACTTGGCTGTAAAAGCAAGTTGTGTTCCTGGGCTGAAGAAACTGCAAGGAGGCTAGTTGCTAGGGAGAGGAAGCCAGGCATTGCTACATGATGTCATTACCTGGATGGAGGGAAGGGCACTTAGCATATTAGCCTTTTATATAGATAGATGATACAGAACTATGTTGTTGTTTCTGTAATTACAAAGAACGTTCAGTAAATTGCATAATTACTATTTATATTAGTCTACTTGTAAAAGCCAAAACGTAATCTTCTGGTACCAACTAAGGATCCCTAGATGGCCCTAGTAATGGGGTACAGAGCATTAGGCTCTCCCTGCCACCTTCTGAGGGGTCTGGGCTTGGCTGTGGGGGGAGCAGAGGGAGGGGCCATTGGGAGGACTCAGAGGGAAAGACTGGGAGCAGAGGGCCCCGTCCTCACAGGTGCTGCAGCTAGTGCTGCCCTGGGGGGGCAGGCGCCAGCTCCCACTGCGCAGGCAGCCCGAGTGAACAGAGGACTCTGTCATTGCCATGCCAGAGTGTCCCTGAAGTGGATCCAGCCGCCACCGTGCCCAGGTCCCAGGCGCAGCAGAGGACAAGTGCCAGCTCCTTTTCCTCGTCTGCTCCTCCTCCCTTCTCTGCGCCACAGGCCCCGGCTCTGAGTGTGACCGGCCCCATCACAGCCAATGCAGAACAGGTACTTGCATACCCTGGGCACAGGCAAGCCAGCTCTGCCCTCATTCACCCTCCCAGACATGGGCAGGTGTCAGTAACGCACAGAGGGAAAGACCATCTCTCTCTGAGGACTCGCAGTTCGGGGAGTGGGGGGTGGGGGGAGGGGGACAGGTGCAAAGACAGTCAGGGTTGTGGTCACATGGAGGTGGGAGCAGTGAGATGCTGAGCCCAGAGTTGAGCAGTGCCTGGAAGGCAGCCTGGGGGGTGGGGGCTGCTGCTGCTGAAGGTCTTGAAGCTGGAGAAGGGCCTTGTCAGGCACCAGGCGGGGCAGGGATGGTGTGGGGCGGGGGGGGCGGGGGCAGAGGGGGTGAGGGATGGGGGCTCCGTGGGGGTCAGGGGCACTGTGTGAGGTGGGCGGGTGGGGTGGTGCGGGCCAGAGGAAAGAGGGCACAGCAGGTGGTGGCTGGAAGGTGGGCTAGTGCAGGGAGAGAGTGGGGAAGAAGCCGCAGGGGTGAGGCAGAGCACAGGAATGGGCGGAGGTGTGAACAGCCTATGTGCATGCAGTGAGGGTGGACTTCCCTCGTGAGGCAGAGGCCGGGCAGGAAGCCTTTAGGTAGCCTCTTCCTGCTTCACCCCAACGCTCCTGCCTCCCTTCACCCCAACATCCCAACACTCCTGCCTCCCTCCCAAGGGACCTCCCGGGGAGCAAAGCCCTTAACACCCCCCTGGGTTTCTCGGTGAAGCGTGGAAACTGATCTTTGGGCGAATCTCTAGTATTTCCATTAGTTAAAGTTTGAGAATTGGTCAGACTTGAAAAAAATCCATTCCATGTTTATATTTTTAAACTCCTCACATAGTCTCCATGACAGTGTCATCATTCTGGGGCCTCGTTCAGTCAGAGGGCAGTGATTCTGCCTGGTTGGTGGGCATGCTGTGCCAGGGCCCAGGAGGGAGCAGGCGGGGGGAGGAGAGGCCAGCTAGCAGGCACGGGGCTCAGGGAGCCCTCAGCGAGCCTCTCGCTATAGAATGGGCCGCAGCCCTCCTCTCCCCCCGCGGGCAGTCATGGGCCTGAGGGCAGCTGGAGGATTTGCACCCAGGTTCTGTGTGCTCTGCTGAGGAGACACTGCGGAAGCCCATAGCTGAAAGGCGTTTACCTGGACTGTGGGCCTCACTTCCCTGAATGTGCCCTTTTCATTGCCCACCGTGACCAGGACCTGCCCCTGTGGCAGAGCTGTGCCCCTTCTGCTCAGAGGGAAAGCCACCATGTTTGAAGCTGGATGGCCAAGGCCCTCCACTGTCTGTGCCTGGGAGCGCGGGGTGAGGGGAGCCAGCAGCAGCCAGAACAGTGGAGAGAGGGATTGGAACGCCTGATGGGCATGAGTTTCGTTGCCCCCGGGGAACGAAAGCAGAGACAGCCGGGCCTGGAGGACCGGGGCTTCAGTGCCCACATGGCTTCTAACCGCGCAGTCCTGGCCTCCTGGTCAGAAGCCTCCTCAGCCAAGATCTGTACCGTCCACCCATCAGGCAGAGCCCGAAGCAAAGAAGCTGCCAGGACCTGGCCTCCCCCCCCCCCCAGGTCAGAGCGTCCTGGTCCAGCTCTGCACATCCCAGCAGTGTTGGGTATATGTGTGCCAACACGGGTGAGGGGGCATTTGCACATCAGCTACCCTGCACACCTTGGGATTCCTAGTTTCCTCTCACAGGTGGGAAATGAGGCGCAGAGATTAAGTCCATCCTTTGGTGCTTCTGCTGCAGGAGAGACGGCCCAGGCTTTGGGACCCTGTTGGATGGGCGGGTTGGGTAGCTTTCAAGGGGTCATTACCCTTTGGCAGGGAGCGGCCTTCCCCGTGGTTTTCTCCCCGTGCCTCTCCCTCCCTCTCGCCACACCAGGCCAGTAACACTGCCAGCCTCTCAGAAGAACATAGTATTTGGAGGATAAGCTGCTGGGAGCCAGAGTCTATAGCTATGGAGTTCCTCTCCCAGTGCTGAGGGACTGGGGACCACACCCCCCACTTTCCCTTGAAAGAGCAGAGGCAGAGGCCTGAGGGTGAGTCCCTGCCCCAGGGCGGGAAGCGGGGCTGCAGACCAGCTGGGTCCTCTGGGACCAGAGCACTCTCCTTGCCCAGTGCTGCCTCCCAGTCCTGGGCAGAGCCAGGGCCGCGGGTGACCGGCTCTCTGGGTGGCCTCCCTCCCTGTCAGCGCTCTCTAGCCCAGAGCTGCTGCTGCTTCCCTCCCAGGGGGGTGACGGCCCGTCAGGCGCAGGGACTGACCTCTCCCTCCTGCTTCCCTCCTGGGCCAGCAGATCGCCAGGCTGCGGAGTGAACTGGACATTGTTCGAGGCAACACCAAAGTCATGTCTGAGATGTTAACGGAAATGGTCCCCGGGCAGGAAGACTCGTCTGACCTGGAGTTGCTGCAGGTGAGGGGCCTCGTCTCGGGGCGCAGGGCTCGGGGCACAGCAGTGAGAGAGCGGCCGAGTCTGTGTAGGCCCAGACCCAGCCTCACACTTCCTAGAAATGACAGAGGCCAGTACCAGGCGCTCTCCTTTTTGCTTTCCTTAGTAGCATTTTTCCTGATTATAAAATGCCAATTGCAGAAGCCATGCTCATCTAAAGAAAAAGGCAGTTCAAAGCAGAGCGTTTTCTCTGATGCCGTGTTCACAAATAGCCATCGTCAGCGCTTTGATGTTTATTTCAAATGTGGTTGAAATGTTACTATGTGTACGATCTGTGTGTGTTGCTTTGCACTCCTGACATCATCAGCCTCCCCTCCTCGTCACGCCTTCCCGGACCCCCAGGCCATGGGCAGCTGAAGCCTCTTTTTTCCTGGGCACTGAGCACCCATCCCCAGGCGGAGGTTGCTCACACCGTGGTCCCGAGGCTCTGTCCCTACCTGGCCTCTCCTCCTCTGGCTGCTTGGGGGCCTGACAGTGCTGGAAAGGGGTCGGGTGCAGGGCTGGCCTGTGGGGGTCCCTGGTGTGAGAGCCAGAGACCCTCCTCGGGCCTGTTTCCCAGGCCCGCCACTCCCGTCTCAGGCTCTGGCACCGCCTTAGAAGCAGTGCCCTCGGAAGGGTGGGAAGAGGGTGCAGTAGACTCCCCGATGCCAGATCGTCTCTATGGGAGGCAAGATGCTTGAGTCAACAAATCAGGAGCCAGACTGGCCGGGCGAACTGGCCTGAGTGCACAGGCTACTCCCGTCATCCTGGCCCTGAGTGCTGCACACGCACCTGCTGTTGGCACACGGTCCTCAGGAGCACACACAGCCATCTCTTGCCATGCCCCCTTCACCCTTCGAAGCCATCAGCTCCTGGGGGGTGAGCAGGGGTGGGAGCCTGTCCAGGGCCTACCAGAGCAAAGCCCAAGAGGCACCGATGCCGTGCGAGACCTGTTCTGGGGAGCTGGCCGCTGAGCGTGAGAGACACGCTCATCTCCGAGGAACTAGCGTCAGGCTGCTCTTGAAGCCATGACACCCTCTGCCAGCCGAGCAAGGCGACCTCAGAGCCTGCGGCAGGCCGGGCTCGCCTGGCTGAGAAGGTCCAGCTGGCCACATGCCACACTCCCGGGACCCAGCACCCGTTCCTGCGTATTGGCCTCCATCCCGCCCGGTGGTGCTTCTTCCAGGCATTCCCGGAGGCCCTGGGACCTGCGATTAGTCCGGAAGCTGAGGGAGCGCTGTGCTGTGTCAGCATCAGAATTCCTGCTGACAAGGGGTTTGCAGTGGACAGAGCTGAGCTCCTGGCCGCGGGGTGGGGGCTGAACAAAGCCAGCTGCTTCCAGACAGCCAGCAGCCCAGACAGCAGGGATGGTCTGGGTGCCAGTGCGTGTGGTGTGTTCTAAAACAAGTCGTGAGCCAAGACAAACAGAACCTAATCTCCTGGTGTCAGCTCACAGTCTTCAAAAATAGGCTGCTTCCTGTGACGTTTTCCTTCCCTCTGTTTGTTCCAACTCTGAGCCTCCAGCCTCGCTGCTGTCTTTAAATCAAACGGAAAGAGCGGCTCTGGTACAGCGGGAGGCTTCGGGAGGCTCTGTGCACAGGCCTGGCCCCGGCTGCCGGCCAGCTCTTCAGTCATCCTGACCTCTCTCCTCCTCCTCCTCCCCGTCTAGCAGAAGCCAGCCAGGCAGGGTCTCCCAAGGGCCAGGTCAGACCAGTGAGCACTCCGGGTGGGAAAACGGCACAGGCTGCTTGGAAAGTGACAGGATCAGGCCGTGCCCAGGACTCCTTAGTGGCAGTGGAGGGCAGCCAGATGGTGAGGAGAAGCTGTCAGCTCGCAGTACTGGCCAGGGCCATGAAGTAAACGCTTTTGTCACCAACCCAAATGTTCACGCCAACAAAAGCCGCTCGCTCTCGAGTGTAAGCTGCTGGGTAGGAGGCGGAGGAAATGGGAAGAGAGGAAATTGGAGGTGTCAGCCCTGGATGCACTGGGTGGCAGACCATGATGATGAGTGGGTTCGTTTGATCGCTTCCTGGGAGTCAGAGCCGTTCTGGTGCAGCCTCGCCGCAGCCCTGCAGAGGGCGGAGCAGCCCCGGAGCGCTGGGCCTGAGGACTTCGGGGTCACTGTGGTTGGGGGAGGCTGAGGCCACTGTCAGCCTCTCGGGAGTTCCCGGAAAGTAAGCCGCAGAGGGACACAGCGGCTCCTCCGTGTGCGGGCCCTCTGCTCTGGGCGGGGAGACTGCCAGGCACCGCCTCATTGTGTTCTTATCAACGGCAGCTGTCAGTCAGCCCGTGGGGAGCAGCACAGCAGGGCAGGAGCGGGGGGGGGGGGGGGGGGGGGGGGGGGGCGAGGCGCCACGGTTCAACCGTGGACTGAGGAGCTGGTGATGCTGGTGATCCCACAGAGTGTAGAGGGATCCCCATCCCCTGGGGAGGACAGGATCCTGCTCGCAGTGTGCCGGTGCCGGGCGCAGGCACGGCGGCCCCAGGCTGGAGCTTCTGTGGTTCCCCCAGGCTGGAGCTTCTGTGGTTCTCGTCAGCACATTGAGCTCCAGCCTGTCTCCCTGCACCTGCTGCCCTGTCCGTCCTGACACCAGCAGAAACACAGTCCACGTTCACACGGCAGGCCCCTAAATGCTTGAGACTGGGGTACAGGGGAGGCTGTGGCAGCCCACCTGGAGGATGGCCAGGCAGTTCTCAGCAGGGGACGGACGTCCCCTGAGAACCCTCATCTCTTTCTCCCGTGCTGTTGGCTGTCTCTGCCCACCGCCCCTCCCCACCACCACCACACACGGGCACTGCGTGGGGCCTGGTGTGGACTGTACCCACGCTGCTGAGGTCCGCCCTTCGCCGCGGCCTGGAGTCCCCTCTCTGGACTCTAGTGAGCCTGGTACTGTCCTGTGCCTTCCGTCTCTTTCAATTAGCTTGCTGAACAGTTAGTAACTCACATGGATTCAGTGATGCTAACGGCATTCCTACCTTCCTGTGCGCTGTCAGCGAAGAGGAGGAGCAGGCATTGCCCTCTCGCTCCCCTCTTCCTGCATCTCATTCCAACAAAAGACCGGGTGGCCAGGACCGTTTTCTCTGGAGAAATCTGGTTTATTCTACACGTTTAGCTTCATTATTCCCCTTTCTCTTCAACAAAGAACTTCTTTGCGCACACATTCCCCTCTCCTCTCTCGCCCCCCCAGCCCGCAGCTCTAGGAGCAGGTTTCCGGGACCCCGGTCTGTGCTCCCCGGTCCGGGAGGAGGCTGGGGGAGGACACGCAGAGCGAGGGCCTGAGAGTTGTTCTGTGAGGTGGGGACATGCATGCCTCGAAGAAAGGATCACGTCGTTGGGAGCAATTAGACAGAAAAGCGGGTGTTTTAATAAGATGCTCTGACAGGTGAGGGCTTCGCATAAAGAACAGTAACAGCTGTCCTCCCTCTGTTGAGAACCAGACCCAGAAGAGGCCAGATTGTCCCCTTTAAGAACTTCGTTCCAGCTGTTGCGCAGTGGGAAGGCTGCCTGAGTGAGCGGGTGAGCGGGCTCCCTGTGTGAGGGCGGGAGCCGCTCTGTCTGGAGGCCTGGAGGCTGGGGAGGCAGAGCAGGATCTCCCAGGCACCTGCGCAGCCTGGCTGTGGGTGACCCGGTGGAGACCATGCAGAGCTAGCCAGTGCTGTGGTGGCAGGAATCTTAACATTTAGTCCTCCTCCCACCATCCAGCTCTTTGTCTTCTCCTGTTTAGTTCTGTTCTAAGACAGTAACTTACAAGGTGAAAGCATGGACATGTAAAGCTTTCTCTCTGACTCAGACCCCAGGCCGGACTCCCTGGGTGCTCCTCTGAGGTCGGGGAGGGGAGGCTCTCCTGGGGGGTCAGGGCTGCTTCCCCATCACCCCCCCCGGGGGTGGGGCAAGGCAGCAAGTGCAAGGCCGAAGTGTTTCTGTTGCTTACAGCCATGGCATCCCTGCCTCCGTGTCCAGGGTGAGAGCTAGCAGAGGCCTCTTCCCAAACATTTCTCTCAAGGATTGGAACTCCTCCACAAATAAGTCCTCCCGAGAACGGAGTGTTTAAAACAGATCAAAGCAGAGCTGCCCTGGCTGCCGGAGGGTGGATTGCCCCAAACCGCTGCTGTGAGGCACTCAGAGGTGCACCATTTCTGCAGCCCCGAGTTTTCCCCAGGGACACAGAGACCAGAGAGTGCTGGGGGCCTGGGCGCTAATGCGGGTGCCTGTGAGGACAGTGACAGGAGCTGGTGGTCTGGGCAGAACTAGGGTTCAGAGCATGTTGTTTATTTATTTATTTTTACATATTTCTCCTAGAGGCCTCATGCACAAATTCATGCACAGGTGGGGTCCAGCCTGCCCACCCTGATGGGGGCTGATTGGGGCTGGGCCAACAGGGGGCTGGGGATGTGGGAGGTTGGCGGCGGGAAGGGGGTGATTGGGGCCTTCACTGGGCCTGTTGGCTGCCAAAGTGTGTGTCATAGCGACTGGTTGTTCCACAGTTCAGGTCGCTTGGCTTTTATATATATAAATTGATTTCAGAAAGAAAGGAAGAGAGAGAGGTAGAAACATCAATGATGAGAGAGAATCATTGATCATCTGTCTCCTACAGGCTCGCTACTGGGGATGGAGCCTGAAACCTGGGCATGTGCCCTTAACTGGAATTGAATCGGGACCCTGCAGTGTGCAGGCCGACTCAGGTTCAGAGCATTTGAGATCAAGGTCCTCCTCCTGCCTCTAGCCCAGCCTGGTGCTGCTGGTGGGATGGTACTACTTACCTGGGCTGGTTTGGCCCGGGTGCAACTGGTACAGGTTGGGAGTAGGGAGAAAGGGATTATGAGAATCCAGTGATTTGCTTAAAGCCCTCTTTCCAGGAATGGTCCTGCCTTTTCCAAAATCTAGAATGGTAGTCTTAGGAGAACTAAGAATGAGAATAATGAGAATCTGTTCAGAGATAAACCCAGAACGTCCAGACAGTGGACTTGCTTGTGTCCCTATTGACCAAAAAAGACTGACAGCAGCATCCTGGCTGTGCGGAGGGCCGAGACAGAGGCCATGTGTTCGTAGCCAGCTGGACAGGGTCCAGGACCCCACCAGTCAGAGCATCCTGTTATACAGCTGCCAGTATAGCCACTTCTTAAAAAATACAGCTGCGCTACGGAGCTTCTGGGCTGTCCCCAGGGGCCATGCTTCTTTCCTCAGCTGCCCTGCTCTTAGGGAAGGCCCCAGGCTGAGCCGCCTGGGAGAGTGCCCGCATAGAATGGCCCGGATGTGCCAGCAGCCCTCCTTCACCGCAGTCTGCTCGCTCTGTGGGGAGCTGGCCTATCTCAGTCTGCCCTTGCTCTTCGCTGCCTGGTCAGGCCTGGGCACTCATCTGCTTCCACACTGAATATCTAACGTGTCGTAAGACACACTCCTGCCACTGCTGCGAGTGCAAACACACAGGTCTCCTCTTTTAGCAGCGTCTTTACTGTGACCAGCCAGCTTTCCACGTGGCCACCCCGTTCAGCCAGCAGCCACCTGTGGGGCGTGGTCCCATGCAGGTGCATAGCAGGTGTGTGCAGTGTTCGCTGCTGCCCCCACTGCATGGACCAAAGAAGGCCACACCTGAGTGTCCTAAATAGAATGGTGCATACGTTATAACATAATATATATGGTGCATACACACACGGGTGAGACTGAAGTGGTGGGAAAGTTGTCTGGAACATTCTGTTGAAGAGAAAAAGCCAGCTGCAAAGAATCCTCTCTTCTAATTTAAAACGGGTTTATACAGCGTGTGGCTGTGTCCCCCCAGTCTGCAGGCCTGGACACTTGTCGGTCTGGGGAACAAGCGGGTTTCCTGGGGAGTAGGGGGCAAAAGGGAGGGCTTCCCCTTTGCTCAGACACGCCCTGGCTTCGTGAGCAAGCGTGCACTGAGGGAGGAGCAGGACCCATTTCTCAGAGGACGTAGACATGGCAGAGGCCCAGCAGGCTGGCCGTGTGTGTCCCCAGGAGCTGAACAGGACCTGCCGGGCCATGCAGCAGCGCGTGGTGGAGCTCATCTCGCACGTGAGCAACGAGGAGGTCACCGAGGAGCTGCTGCACGTCAACGACGACCTCAACAACGTCTTCCTCCGATACGAGAGGTGGGCGTGCCTCCCCACCCCCCCCCCCGCCCCCAAAGCCGTGCGGGTTTCTTTCTCGAACAGAAGGGAGAGGAATTAGATTTGGAAACTACTCATCAGAGAGGTGCTAATTTGCTCCAGACGACAGGGAAATGTCTCCTGATCTCCTGGGATCCAGCAGTGGAAAGGCTGGCAGATGAGTCTCTGTCCTTTGCAAGCCTCCGGCTGCTCTGCCTCCCTCACCACCCGCCCCAGGAGGGAAGGACCCACCGGCACCTGGGCTCTGGAGCTGCTGCACCTGCCTCTTTAAAGATCTTTTGAATTTGAAAAGGATTAAAAGGAAAAATATTCACCAAGGGAAAAGATTTTTCTCTTTTCCATCTTTAAAAAAGGAGATTTTTCCTTTCCTTTGCAAATGTCAGGGAGTCTGAGTGTCCAGCAGGGGCAGGAGCACCAGGGGCTGTGTAGGGAGCACATGCTCCTCTTGGTTCTTCCTGCAGCCGGGTCGCCATCGGGTTTGAGGTAACAACCTTGCAGGTTCTTCTCCCTTTCCAAAGCCTCTGGGAAGCACAGCCCTTCCGCAGTCAGGCCCACAGCTGCAGGAGACACGATGCAAGCAGGTCGGGCTGTCCTGGGCACACCCGCCTGCAGGCCCCTCAATGAGGCCTGCCTTCTTCTAAGTTTAAGCCCCAACCCCCTGGAGACTCGGGTCCTGGCCCCTCACTGACTCGTGGCATGATGTCTGGCACCTGTGAAGGGCAGTGTGGCAGATAATTGCATTTGGGATCTGAGGGGGTGACTTTGCAGTAGTTGTCACAACCCTGGGCTTTGTCTCGGCTTCAGCTGAGGCATCAAGGAAGCTGGCCCTGTCGGCTGACGGGCGAGATGGTCTCCGCAGAGAGCATTGGGCCAGCAGGGGCGTGCCAGGTGGGGACAGGAGCCAACCTGAGTGCCTTGACCCTTGGTCTTGCCTTGTGGTCCCAGTTTTACATGGGCCTGACTTTCAACCTGTCAGGTCCTTCCAGCCCCTTCTAGAACAGGTGGCAGGAGCTGTGTGGACACTTCCACTAGCCTGTACTCCCGGCCAACTACAGACCTGGACAGGTGGTGGCAGAGGCTCCGGGCTGGAGACTCCAAGGGACTCCACTCCTCCTGAGAGACCAGGGCTTGGAAAACAGGTCTTTCCTACCCCCAGTAGGCACCAGGTCCTCACCAGTGCCCCTCGGATCCCTGCTCACTGGCCCCAGCAGCCGGGACCCAGTGAAGTCTGCTTCTGTGGGTCCAGCTCAAAAGAGTCTGAGCTACCCCTGCCCGTGGCATTCACAGCAACCACACGCCCCTCACAATCGTCCCACCCGGTAAGAGAGGAGGCGTCTGTAGCTGCTCTGAGGCAAGTTCCGTCCTGGGCCGGTCTGCAGCCAGCAGGCTGGGTGTGGCCTGGCCGCAGCCCTCAGGGACCCTCTCTGGCAGAGGCGTGCCCCTGTGGCCTAGGGCTTTAGCGCCCCCCCTTCCAGTGACAGGAGGAACACCTAGCCCAAGGTCTGAAGGGATGGCTGGGGTGCTTACAATGGCCGATGTACCAGCCACCACCCTGCTCCTCATCTCGGGGCCCATGGGTGAAGCCCACACAGGGGAAGGCGGGTAGCGTGCATGTGTGGGCTGCTCTCCGGCCCTAACGTGGGCCTGGTTGGTCTCCTTTCCTGGAACCTCAGTCCCCAGAAGCTTTTCCCAGGACTCGTGGGCATCGCAACGCCACACTCTCCCTCACTGGGCTCTCCTTCCCGATAGGTTCGAACGATTCCGGTCTGGCCGCCTGGTCCAAAACTCCAGTAACGGGGTAAGCATGCCCTCAGCATCCGAGTGGCTCTGAGCTGGAAGGGCCGCCTCGGGTGGTCTCACCTGTTCCTTGACCTGGGATGTAAATATCTGGTGAGCTGAACAGCTCGCGCTGTTGACAAGATGCTGAGGAAGAGCCAGCAGGCACATCCGAGAGTCAGTGGGCAGGGCTGCCCAGTTCCAGGGTCCGCAGTGGGCCTGGCTCCTGTGTTGGCGGGCGTGGAGAGCACCTGTGCCTGCGGGCCTGACCTCAGCCAGACCCCAGGGCTCACGTGCTCACGGCACCTCCTGCTCCACAGGTTCTCAGTGAAGTGACCGAGGACAACTTAATAGACCTGGGGCCGGGGTCTCCTGCCGTGATGAGCCCCATGGTGGGGAGCACGGCACCCCCACCTTCCCTCTCATCTCAGCTTGCTGGCCTGGGTGAGTATCTCATGGGGCTGAAGGACCTCCTTTGCAGGCCCCTTCCTGGCTGAGTCGGGGCAGAGGCCCTCTTCCTGTTGGAAGGCCAAGAGTCTTTTGGTGAGCCCATGGAGAAGTGTACTCCTGACCCTGACCAACCTCACCACCTTCAGTGCATAACTTCTCTCCCTAACTTCAAGTTGTAACCTACATGGGAAAGCAGGGGCTGGGGCATTCCAAGGAAAAGAAAGGTGGCTGCTGTGTGTGATCTGGAATATTCCTTATGGTCGAAGCGCTTTCCTTCTCAATACCGACTAGGTCAGCCGAGGATGGCAGACAGGTTTCCGCTCACGGGCAGCTCAGAGCACAGGTCTAAGGGGGGTGCTGTCGCCACTTCAGGGCTTGGAAGAGGAGTCTGGGGTTGATCGGTGATGTCTGCCACTGGCTTGGAAATAAGAAGGAACGGCACTGAAATACTTGCTCTTGTCAAAGTAACGTCAGCTAAAGTATTGTCTGAAATCTGAAACAAGAAGCACTGCTTTCTACAGTTCATTTGGTTTAAATATGACTATAGTGCTGCAAATCACAGTATGATGCCAACTTATTGTATTATTGTATTGAAATAATAAGCATGGCCCTCTCAAAGCTCTTTTATTAAATTTGATTTTAGAGAGAGGGGGTGGGAGAAGGAAAGAGAGAGAAAAACATAGATGAGCTGCCTCCTGCACATCCCCCACTGGGGATCAAGCCTGCAACCTGGGCATATGCCCTGACCAGAAATCGAACCGGCACCTCTTGGTTCACTGGATGATGCCTAACCAACTGATTAACACTAGCCAGGCTCAAAATTCTTTCTCCCACCCTGCTGTTCTGTTTTCTTATCCTATATGATAAAAGCCTAATATGCAAATCAACCAAAAGGCAGAATGACTGGTCACTATGACATGCATTGACCACCAGGGGGCAGACGTTAAATGCAGGAGCTTCCCCCTGGTGCTCAGTGTGCTCCCACAGGGGAGTACTGCTCAGCAAGAAGCTGGGCCCATCTCTGGCAAGCTCAGGGATAGTGACAGGAGCCTCTCCTACCTCTGCTGCAGGCAGGTGGTTAAGAGTGAGAGGTCCTGGACTGCAAAGGGGATGTCTGTCTGTCTGTCTGCCAGCTTAGGCCTGTCCCCAAGCCGGTAGACAGACATCCCCCAAGGGGTACTGGACTGCAGGAGAACGCAGGCGGGCTGAGAGCACCCCCCTCCCCCCCGCAGTGCACGAATCTCGCACACTGGGCCTCTAGTTTCTTTTTCTTTTTCTTTATTTTAAATATATTTTATTGATTTTTTACAGAGGAAGAGTGAGGGATAGAGTTAAAAACATCAATGAGAGAGAATCATCGGTCAGCTGCCTCTTGCACCCCCCCCACTGGGGACGTGCCCACAACCAAGGTACATGCCCTTGCAGAATCGAACCTGGGACCTTTCAGTCTGCAGGCCGACGCTCTGTCCACTGAGCCAAACCGGTTTCGGCGGGCCTCTAGTTTCTTAACATTTATCTTTATAACTTCATTTTATTTCAATTAAATTGAGCTTTTATTTTTGGCTTCTCAGTATCTCATATTTGTAGCCCCTGTTTCTCTTTCAGAACAGGTTTCTCTCCTTCAGTCCATCCAGCATATGGCACTGGATTCTCCCAGAATTAAATTGAATTATGCTGCCTCCCTTCCTTAAAAAAGGCCTCACGTTTTCATCCACTGCCTTCTTGGCATTCGAGGCTTTTCCCAACCGTCCCCACCTGCCTTGCCAGCCTGTCCTCCATTAGCTCCCAGGGCATTGCTCACTGCACATGCCCTGACTGCCTGCCTGCACCTGCCTGTGTCTCCCCTCCCCACACAGAGTCCACTGTCCCAAGCACTACTGCTGTCTGTCTGTCTGCCTCTCACCTGCTCTGTGACTCCTTGAGACCATGGTCCACATCAGATTCAGTTTGGTTCACTCATGACCTAGTTCTGAACATGGTGGGTATCTGCAAAATATTTGTCACAGAGATAGATACAGGTCCAGGCCCTTAGACATGGTGACTGAGGTAACGAAGAGCCCCCGACACAGAGGCATCAGGGGACCCTGTAAGGACCTCGCCCCGGGTGCCGCCTTCCCACTGCTAGTGCTCTCCCTGCCATCCAGAACGACTTCTCCATCTGGACCGCACCCGTGGCCCCTCCTGCACAGGGTGACCTGGGTGTGCCCCCTGCCCTCCCCCCAGAACTTTCACCTGTTCACCTGGCGTCCTAACGTTGGGCCCCCGTGAAGTCCCTGACCCCTTTGTCTCATCTTGCTTCTCCTGTTGCCGCAGACCTGGGGGCAGAGAGCGTCAGCGGCACCCTGAGTGCGCTCCAGCAGTGCGCCCCCCCGGACAGCGCCGGCACGCGCGCCCAGACCACGGGGAGCTCCGCAGCCGAGCAGCGCAAGGCGTACGTGAGGGTCATTCCAGTGGCTCCTGGAAGCTATGTGGGGAGATTGATCCAGGCCTGGTCACGGGCCAACACAAAGAGGCCTTCTATTTACCATCAGGATGGCCAGGAGCTTTGGAATATGCTGAGAGGACTTGGCAGTAGACAGATGTTGAATGAGTGAGCGCCAGCCCCGCTGCTCTCTGCTTCCGGTGCGGCTGCTGGAGGGGAGGCAGCCAGGAGGGCAGCGGCAGGACGCCGGCTGGCAGCGAGGCTTCCCGCCCGCGAGTGTGCATGGAGCTTCCCTGGTAGTGGCTCTGGCCAGGAGGAGCCAGAGGGAATTGGGGGAGTTTATTTCAAAATAGACAATCCCCCGTGTCATAGGGAGGCCCAGGGACAGCCAGCCCAGGCCCCGCTCCTGGATGCAGTGAGCTGCTGCTGGGACCTTGCTCCACAGCCTCGGGTGCCCCCACACCCTGTCCTCTCGCCTTAGAGGGGTAGAGGTGCCCGTGCTGTTACTCGAGGGGGTGATGGAACAGTGCCAAGCCTGGGGGAGGGCAACACCTCCCAGCCTCAGGCAGGCAGACCAACAGCTGGGCCCTGGCCTCTGCCCATGCCAAGGCCTCGGAACGTTCTAAGTGCCTGTGAGGAAGGTGCCATGGGTAGGCAGGGACTGCAGTCGACCCCCATCCCCTGGGGCGCTGACTCTGCTTGTGCTGCTTCGTCTCCAGGGTAACCTGTGAGGACCCCCAGGCTGCCGGAGGACTCACTTCTGCCCTAGACAGTCGGAAACAGCTCTCCGAAGTGGTAGGTCTAGCCCTGCTTTTCTGCCGGACAGTTTGGTAGAGCTGGCTTGGTGGAGGGCGGGAAGGACCAGAGATAAGGCAGAAGTGGAGGATGGTGCTCGTCTGGCCCCAATGCACCCCGGTTTCTGTAAGTCTCAGATCATCTCGGGGGAAAGGAGTTGTGTCTTCATGTTTCTCCTGAGCTTGTTCCCTCTGCTAAGCGGTGTGGGTGAATGTTGGTTTGCAGGGGCTGGGAGGGGGCGGGCTGGGCCTCCTCCTGAGGTCCCCCAGCTGAGCTAGGAAAGGGCATGCCCAGGGCCCCTCTGACCCCGAATGGGAGTTGCTTCCCAAATGTCAGTGTTGGCCTCCTACACCTCACCTTGGGGAAGGACCACCTCCTTCCTCCTGGTTGGCCAACTGCGTCCCTCTGCACTGGCCGCCAGGAGGCACAGAAGAGCCAGCCAGCTGCCTCCGGCTCAGCCCCTGCCTTGCCACAGAAGGGTGGGCAGTGGTACCCACACCTGAGACTGAACTCCCAAAATGTGTGCAGCAGCCACGACTCCGTTTAACCGTTATTTAGAATGTCCTCCCTCCTGGCTCCGGAGGGCGTTAGGAGCTGGGCTGAGGCCCTGCCACGTGAGGGTGCCCCTCCTCCCGGCCCTCCCTGGCCTGGCCTGCAGCCCGTCCCTCACCCAGGCTGACCTGGTTTGCTTCCCACTCTGTCTCTAGGGCCTGCCCTGTCCATGCCAACCTGTACCCTTCCACACCTTCACCATTATCACTGCCTGTGCCTGGGTCAGAGCTTAGGACATGTGGCCAGCTTCCCACCCTTCACCTGCGGGTGTGTGGGTTGGCCAGCCTCCGCTTTCAAAGGCCTTGCTGAGTTCAGCATGTCTTCACATGGTGGTGACAGGCTGCTCTCTCTTTATGCTGACTGCTTGGTGGGCAATGCAGGGAGCAGGGTTCCTGTTAGCTCTGCGTGTGTGTGTGTGTGTGTGTGTGTGTGTGTGTCTAGATATCTGTGTGTGTGTCTGTTTATCTCTGTGTTTATCTGTATATCTGTCTCTGTGTGTCTGTGTGTTTTCATACCTGTGTGTGTGTCTTTGTATCTGTGTCCTCACACACTGGCTCGCATGCACCTGCAGGCCAAGGCTTCGGTCATGTCCATACACTGACCCGCACTGCCGGAAGGCGAACGGGGTCAGGGAGGAAGATAGGAGGGAGAGGAGATGTATGGCCACCTCCATGGTGCAGTCAGTTCTTACTTTTATCATTTAAAAAGGGTAACATACCAAACTTAGAGTTTAAACTAAGGCTTGGAAAATGAGCACACAGGTAGCTGAGGAGGAAAAGGGAAGGAAAAGCAGAAGTAAGTTAGAAAAAAGGAGGAATGATCTGTAAAGGTGCTTCTCCGGTGAGCCGCCCCTGCTGCCTGGGAGCCTCCCTGGGAGCAGAAGCCCGGGCGTCTGTGGCTCGCGGCCTCGGGAGCCCGGGAAAGGCCGCGCCATGGGCGCTGTCCTGGAAGGGCCTGCGGACTAACCTCTCACAGGCAGGTGGGGGCGTGGTGGGGAGCACCTGGGCCAGGGCTGACATGACACATGCTCACTCCGAGCGCCTCTGTCCTGGGGGATGTGCTGTTGCTTCTTGATAATGGGTCTCGCTGTGACTTTTCTTTCTGGGACTTTCCTGTCCTCCGTCCAGGAGAGAGTTAAAGGTGGGGACGCTGACCTGGAGCCAATAGACAGCTGGCTCATGACCCAAGGAATGGTGAGCGGCCACTAGCTGAGCAGAGCCGTGTCCCCAGCGCTTCCCCGTGTCCCCGCTGAGCCCCGTGAGTCAGACAGCACAGGCCTCTCCCCTCCGGCCGGGTGCCAAAGCGTCTCCTGTCTGCAGTCTCCTGAAGCCACAGACTCAGCCTCCTCTGGTTTCTGCTGAGGTCCAGGCCCGGGCCTTTGGGGTCTGGAGCATCTCCGGGAGGGGACGGCCCTTCCCTCCTCTGACTGTCTGTGGGGCGCTCAGCGGTGTTCCCTCTCCAGGGGGAGCGGTCACTGTGGCTTGTGCTCCTAAGAGAACGGACTCCAAGCCTCTGACAGCTGGGAAGGCCCAGCCTGTGAGGGCGGCACTGGGCGTTGGCTCCACTGTGCTCCGTAGGGTCAGGGGTTGTGCCCACTGAGCCCCAGAGGCTCTGTGGCCTCTGACAGACACACACACACACACACACACACACACACACACACACACACACACACGGAGCAGACAAGAGCAGCAGAGCCGGCCAAGGTTAGCATCACACATGCAGCTGGTTCTCAGGAACGGGCCCTGGGTGGGGCTCTCGTGCCTCACCTGGCCAGGGGGGTCTCTCTTCCCTCCCCTGACCGGGTGGCCCTACCCTGGTGCATGGAGAAGGTGACCTCGTCCGGCTGCTTGCCCTGCTGGGAGTGACCATTCACCGCGGGACCCAAGGCCCTCAACAAGATCTGCACCTGCCCGCTGAGCAGGGAGGGTGCGAGAGGGCAAGGCGAGGCAGGCAGGGATCCGGGGCCGCTCCCCGGAACTGGAGGGGTGGCACCGGGTGCACACAGGGGAGACTGACAGACATGGGCTGTGCCAGGCTGTGGCCAGGGAGGGTTTCTCAGGGCAGCATGGGAGGGTGTCTGTCTGCCACCCAGCTGGAGCAGGCGGCCCTACACGCCATGCTCAGGTGGGGCCCAGCCCTCCACCTGCCATGCAGCAGGCCCTCCTCGCTCTGTTCCTGCAGACCTCACAGCTGATCTCAGAGAGGGGCTGCCCGGCCCCTCGTTTGCTTCTTCAGGGGCAGGCTGGGCTCTGGCCACAGGTGGTGGCTGTAGAGCAGGACCCTGCACACCATGTCCACTCCATTGTCCAAATTGGAGGGATCCGAGCATGTGTCCTTATGCCTTTTAACCCTGCAAGCAAAAGGTCACTCTGAGCATGGCCTTGGCAGCGGGGGGCGGTCCTGCCTCTGCCACACGGGCCGTCTCAGCTGCCCTGTCTCCTCCCGGAGCTCAGTCTCCGGCTCCCAGAAGCAAGCCCCGCTAACACCTAACCCGACCTCACCTGCCTGATGCAGTGTTTTCCCTTTTAAACAATGCACACGCACACTAATTGCTTCGCCTTATTTCCATTGTGTGGCGCCCTGAGTCTGCCAACACCCCCAGGTACAGGTTCTTTACTTGGAAACTTTTTGTACTGCTGAGTGCGACCGCAGGCTCGCAGACCACCCCTCGTGGGGTGTGGGGGAGTCCGTCGGGAGGAGGTCCCGCTTCTCTGCAAATAGCACAGCGGGGCTACAGAATTGTGCCTTTTGCATGGGAAGACAGACAGTTGCTCCCCTGTGGGCTGGCTCCTGGGACTGAAGCACCAAAGTCAGCAACCCCAAGCTCATCAGCAGTTGAAGGAATCCCTGAGACAGTGCGCGTGCTGTCCCCCAAGCCTGTGACCGGGAGGAGTCCCCCGCACGCTGGGCAGCCAGCAGCTCTGGTTGTGAATGAGTCCGTCACAAGAACTGAAGGAGGCTAGTGGAAAGGTCTGCTGCTGCCAAAGCCTAGGTTTGGGATGGTGTGGGGGCTCCCTACTTGGACCCGGAAGACCCCGGGCCACCTCTGAACAGCAGGCCCGAAGTCCCGAAGAGCACTGAGCCCAGGACGGCCTCTTCCCTGTGTGCAGGCCACCTGCTGCTCCCTCAGCAAGGCTGCCGCCTGCAGCCAGGACAGGGCCCGCGGACAGCAGACCGCCCGCCACCTCTGCGGCAGGACCTGCCACTGGCACCGCCTGCCGGTTCCTGTTGGATCCTGAGGACAGGCCATCTGTCCTCAGGGGGGTAGCTCTAGGCCTGGTCTTCATTAGATGGTGCTGCCCAAGCAGCTTCTTGTATCTTACTCTCTCCCTCCTCCAACTCTTCTCCTAACCCCTTGGGCCAGCCTTTGGCTGGATAATTCTCCAAGAAGATGCTAAGCCACAGCAGGACAGAGCCCCAGTCCCTGGAGAAGCTGGGCAGCCCGGCCTCTCCCGCCCTTCAGCGGCCTGGGCGGAGCTCTGGTCCTCCCTGAGCCCCGGGCCCTGGTGCGGAGCAGGCACAGGCTTTGCCGGAGGCAGCACCGCGGTGTTAGGAGGGAAGTCACTGTGTGGTACTCAAGGCGCTGGTTTAAGGTGTTTCAGCCAACCAGAGCGAGCGAACCCCTGCTCTTAGGCGAGGGCTGCTGGCCCCACCCCAGCGCCACACTGAGTCGTGCCTGGAGGCCAAGTGCCTTCATGGTGAGGAGCCAGCGCCAGTTACTTCTGATGTCCCTGGGTTTCTTCCTTCCTTTCACACGGATAGTTTATTGAGAAGGTCGAGTTATGCGTCTGTGGTGACTTCACCCCTGACTCCTGCTCAGCACAGGCAGGACAACCTGCTGTCTGGGAGGCCGTGCAAGTCGGTGACCGCCTGTGGGTCCTCATGGGAGCCTCCTAGCACCTCCCCAGGGAGCTTTCCCCGCGGCGACCCCAGAGCTGCTGGGCGTCCGACTGGCCTTCACCTGGAGGTTCTCTTCCTTGGCGCCCGGTCGGGCCAGCACTGCCTTCTCCGGAGTGATTGGAGCGGCGCTGAGGTGTCAGAGATTCCGGGCGGGAGAGGCGGCGGCTCTGTCCCTGTCCCAGTACCTCCGAAGGCTGCAGCTGGCTGCTTCAGACGGGCTTTGGAGTTCAAAACCCAGCACACCAACCTGGAAGTTAAGGGCTTGGAATCGTGAGCTCAGCCTGTCTCCCAGAGGAGGACACGGAGGGCCGGACAGTCCAGGCCTCGGCCTCTCCATGCGAGCGCAGGCTCCTCAGGAAGCGGAGGTCGCAGCAGTGAGCTGGGCCTCGGCCTCCCCCGCCCCGTGCCTCGCCCGGAGGCCGCCTCCATAGCGCAGGTGCAGGGGAGGCGGCGGGAGGGCCGGCGTGTTCCCAGGACCCAGCCTGGGGGCTTTCAGGGGTGAGCGTCTCCTGTCCGTGGCGTAGGGGCTTTGTTCTCCTTAGTTGCGTTCACATCACTGTGTAGATGCGGCGAGTGCTGAGACAGCCCTCTGACTGCTTGCTTTCACTCCATCTCGGCCTCGATCATGGCTTTGGGCTGAAGCCGCTGTGGGCGCGGTGCTGCAGTTTTCCTAGAAGTAGTGGGCCTGTGAGCGCGCCGCTGGGGGTACAGTGCGGAAGGCGGGTCCTCGGACTATGAAGTCTAGGCTGGGCACCCGTGTTTCTTTACCTCAACGTCTAGAGTTCCCCCCACCATCACCACCCCCAGATCCCAGTGAACATCTCTGACTGCGGGAGCGCGGCCAGCATGGGAAGCTCTGCATTCAGGCCTACGTGCTCTCTGGACACAGGGCCTCACGCCCACAGGCCCTCTGATGCTGAGCCTCTGCTCTTGTTCTGGTGGTGGTGAGAGGTGCCTGCCTCCTGCAGGCCGCCTGGCCCCGGCTCCCTCCCCCTGGGATGTGCCACATCGTGGCAGAGAGCGGCCACGCCCGGGGCGGCTGCCGTGCTGCCTGGCCACGGGGCCTCCTCTGGACAGACTGCCAGTTGGGCTCCCAGTGCATCGGCCCGTGGTGGCTCCTCCAGCAGACGGTGCCCCTCCAGTGTCATCGCCGATGAGTCCAAAGTCAGCCTGCAGGGCAGCGGCCTGAGACTAGCGGGTGCTTTGAGCCTGGGCCGAGAGGCCGTGACGTGAGGCGTGAGGCCTGGCACTACAGTCAAAGAGTTCTCCATGTCAAGGACACGTACTCCCCACCCTCTCCCCCCCTCCGCTTAGACCTGCTCCTCACCGCTTCCCCGCCTGCCATGCACGGCTGCCTCGCTGCCACGCCCGCTGCTCTGATGGGTTTTCTTTGCTGTTTGGTTTCATTTGGGGGTGTTGATGATTTATTTGGTTCTGTCTCCCCTCGCCTGGCTGTGCGGCTGCTGCCGCTGCTTGCCGCCTCCATAGATCCCCGTTGCGCAGCCCTCTGTCATGGACGACATTGAGGTGTGGCTCAGGACGGACCTGGTGAGACTCGACTTTTCTCTTTCAAGTGTGGGGTGTGGCAAGGACAGGCCGGGGACACCCCCGGGCTGCTCCCGGGGGCCGGGGAGGAGGTGGGAGGAGGGCAGGTGTGGCTCCTGCAGCCACCAGATGCCACAGCTGGCGTGCCCGCTGCTCCTGTGGCCCTCAGCTGGCCCTCGCTGGCTCCCGAGCACCCTGCTGTCTCCCCAGATACTTCCATTCAGGCTTGTGTGCTTGACTTCTTTTGTTTTTTTTTCTGCTTGTTTTTTGTGGGTTTTTGTTTTTGAGGGTTTGTTTTTTGGTTTTCATTTCTTTTCATTGTGACATGTACACACAGGTGAATGGGGTATTGTTTTTTTGTTTGTTTTTGTTGTCGTTTTTTAAACCTCACCTGAGAATATTTATTCCATTGATTTTTACAGAGATTGGGAGGGAGGAGAGAGAGAGAGAGAACATCAATTTGAGAGACACACATTGATCAATCGCCTTCCGCATGAACCCTATCCTGGGCCAATCGATCCTGCAACCCAGGTACGTGCCCTTGACCAGGAATCAATCCACAGGGAAATGCTCTAACCACTGAGCACACGTGCCAGGGCTATTTCCCTTTTAAATCCACTGTCACCCTGGCCAGTGGGGCTCAGTTGGTTGGAGCATCCTCCCGGGCACCGAAAGGTTGTTGGTTCAATTCCCAGTCAGAGCACATGCCTAGGTTGTGGGTTCAAACCCCAAAGGGGGTGCATATGAGAGACAACCAATAAATGTTACTCTCTCTCTCTCTCCCCTCCCCCCCTTCTAAAATCAGTAGAACAGATCCTCAGGTGAGGATTTAAAAAAGGAAAACGCACTGCTGCCTCCCTTTTCTAGTATCTCCTGGCATCTTGCATCCAGGAGAACACCTGCTCCAGAGACCATTGTCTTTGTCCCGAGACGGGGCAGGGCATGAGGACTGGCACCTGCCCCTCAGCCGCCTCCTGCTCCTCACAGAGCACTTTTCCTCTCCGCAGCTCCAGGAGGCGGGCGGAGGGGGTGGGCGGAAGGCAGATGCACAGAAGCCTGTGGCAGGGGAGTGGCTGCCTAAGGTCCTGTGCCGGGCTGGCCGGACCCTTCCCAGACCTGCAGACACCTCAGCCCTGCTCCCGGCGACGCCTCACCGGGCCTTGGTCCTGGAGCGCGGGCGTTCTTTCAGCACAGGGCGCCGCTGGCCGAGGCCACTGGTGTGGTCCCTCCCACGGGGACGGAGACCCGAGACAGGGCCACCTCCCTGGAGGCCAGGTGTCCACATTTCGGAGGAAGAAAATGCCTCATCATGTCTACCACGGGAACGCCCAGAAAAGAAATAGCTTCTCTCCCAGAAGCCCTCAGCTCCTAGGGGGACCAGGGTCGGAGGGCGGCTCCAGCAGGACTGCCCGCTCTCCCCTCCGCTGTCTGCGTAGTGAGGTCCACGTGGCAGAACCAGGCCTGACCCCCTCTCTCCCGTGAGAGGTGACAGCGCCCCAGGGCTCCCTCGCCTGGCGTCGGCCCTGGCCGTGGCTTCCTGGCTCGCCACTTCCCGCCTCGCTTGGCCCCTCTGTGGGCACAGACAGCAGCTTCCCAGAGCCTGAGCTGCGGGAGAGCGGCTGAGGGACCGGCGCCTGGGGCATCACGGCCCCAAGAGCCAGCTCGCACCTTTTCTGGATTTTTCCTTTGGCCCTCCTGGAGGGTCAAAACCTACTCAAGCGGTTCATGTTTTTGCTTTCTAAAAACAAAGTTTCTGTTTCTCCAAAAAGATGAACAGTACTTTGCTGTCACAGAACCCGGGGACAGGAGTAGGAAGCATGGCAGAGGCAGTGGCACGGCGGGGGCAGTGGGACGGGGGCAGTGGGACGGGCTGGCACAGCGGGGGCAGTGGGACGGGCTGGCACAGCGGGGCAGTGCGACGGGGCTGGCACAGCGGGGGCAGTGCGACGGGGCTGGCACAGCGGGGGCAGTGGGACGGGGCTGGCACAGCGGGGCAGTGGGACGGGGGCAGTGGGACGGGGCTGGCACAGCGGGGGCAGTGGGACGGGGGCAGTGGGATGGGCTGGCACAGCGGGGGCAGTGGGACGGGGGCAGTGGGATGGGCTGGCACAGCGGGGGCAGTGGGACGGGGCTGGCACAGCGGGGCAGTGGGACGGGCTGGCACAGCGGGGGCAGTGGGATGGGCTGGCACAGCGGGGCAGTGGGATGGGCTGGCACAGCGGGGGCAGTGGGACGGGGGCAGTGGGATGGGCTGGCACAGCGGGGGCAGTGGGACGGGGCTGGCACAGCGGGGCAGTGGGACGGGCTGGCACAGCGGGGGCAGTGGGATGGGCTGGCACAGCGGGGCAGTGGGACGGGCTGGCACAGCGGGGGCAGTGGGACGGGGGCAGTGGGACGGGGCTGGCACAGCGGGGCATGGAGCCTGCTGGGGTGACCTGTGCTCTGCTCCTCCCGCAGAAGGGCGACGACCTGGAGGAAGGCGTCACGAGCGAAGGTACGGCCTGGCCAGCCACTTGGCAGCTCCCCCACCCCCAGGCCAGGGTGCACGGGGCCTGCACCCCACCACTTGGAGCCTTCACTCGAGCACTTTCTGGCGTCTGGCCTGTGCAGGGCCTCTGGGACCGGAGCTTCCTGCCTCTTCGTCCAGACCTCATGCTGATGGGGACGGTCACACAGCGTCCCAGCCAGCATGGTGCCCACCCCATGTGCTCCGCCCACAGAGACAGCACAGGGCACGTGGGCCTGGTGCCAGAGGCCTCACTCCTGGGGGGAAGTTCCCAGCACATCCCCTCCCCTCTCTGTCCCCCTCCCTTTCCATCTTGCCTCCTGGACCTCCCCTTGGGCCCATCAGCCTTTCCCTGTGCTGCTCCCTTCCTCACAGACTCCTGCTCAGACCTCTGAGGCTTAGACCTGCTTCTGCTGGGGCGGGGGGGGGGGGAGGGGGGGGCGGTGCTTGCCACCCCAGCTCCCTGCCCTGCCTCCAGAGCTGGTCTGGAGAGTGGGAAAGCGGCAGCTGGGAGGGAATCTGAACTGTCACCGTCACCCCACCCCGCCCTGCAGGGGGATCCAGGCTGGGTTCCCAGGCAGCGCAGCCCCTGGCTCTGGCTGTGGGCCCGTCACGCCTGCTCCCTCCCTGGCAGTGACCCGGGGCACAAGGGAGTGGGCTCCGTGGTGCAGGCAGACGTGGCTGTTTGAGCCCCCACCAATCCTGGCTCCTGCTCTGTTTTGTTTGCAGAGTTTGATAAATTCCTTGAAGAAAGGGCCAGAGCTGCTGAAATGGTTCCCGACCTGCCCTCGCCCCCAGCGGAGGCGCCCGGCCCAGCCGCCAACCCCTCCAGCCAGAGGAAGCCCGCCCGCTCCGAGGACGCCCTCTTCGCCCTGTGAGCTGGTCTGTGGTTGGCTCCCAGATGGCAGGTCACCTGTCCCCGCCCCCATCCAGGCACCGGCCACTCCTCCGTCCCAGCCCCTCAGTCCTCCGTCCTGCACTGCTGTCTCCACGGAGATGCCACTGTGTTTGCTGCCAGGCCTCCCGCCGGTCAGGGCAGCCTCCGGGAGGTGGGACAGCTGCGGCCAGAGGCCCTGACTGCCCGCCCCCACGCCCACCGCAGGCTCCGCACTGCCTTCCTGCCGGAGGGCCAGTCACTGCCCTAGGACTGGCTCCTGAGCAGACACCGGGGCTGTCTCTCCTCCAGTTGCTTTCTTCACTCAGCAGCGAGCCTGGACCAAGGCGGCCGCACGGCCCACACTCCCCTGGCCCGGGGGGAGCCAAGGGTGTGGGGAGGGCAGCCCAGACCACCGGACAGTGGGCACTGGCACCTGGTTAGCTCCTGTGGAATTGCACTCCGCTGTAGCCCCACTGTGTGCTTCCCTCTCACAGTGCCCACCTGGGGGGTGGCATGGGGGGGGGTGTTTCTGCTAGCTTGGGCAAGCTTGTGGGCCTGTGAGCAGGCCGTGCTTGGGGCTTTGGCCTGGCCTTGGCAGCCTCTTGTGCCAGGCTTGCAGACCAGAGGCCTGCAGGGCCAGAGCAGCACAGAGGCCCCTGCTCTGCTCCTGGGCACAGCCCCAGCCTCCACAGGCTGTTCTGACATCCTATCCCCCTCCCCAGACCCCTGGCCTTGGGTTTGTATTCTCTCCCAGCCAGCCAAGCAGCTAACAGCCTGGGGCTGGTCCTCACCGGGCGGGCGCCTCCTGGCCCTGGGTGAGGCACCAAAGACTGACCCACGCCGAGCACGGGACTGGGGCGCAGCGGCTCAGCACCCCCATGGCCTCCAGGCGCAGTCAGTGCCGGGTGCCTGCCCCAGTGCTCAGCTCAGGCTCGGCCAGGCCACCGTGTGTCCCCAGCCCGGGGCGCGGTAGCCTTCCCGCCTGGGCTGCCGCTCCGACCAGCCCGGGCCACGTGAACAGCACGGGACTGTCCCGGTGGGAAGCAAGGGGAGCCCCCAGAAGCCATGCCCAGCGTGGCTGCCGCTGCCTCCCGGAAGAAGGCTTTGGGGCCAGGCCGTGGCCCCTGGCAGAACCGGCAGGGGACGCCCCACGCCAGTCCTCAGAGGACCCCGGAAGCACAGGGAGCTTGGCTGCAGCTTCCAGGCTGCATCGGGCAGCACGGCCAGGCCTCAGCCCTGCACCGTGGTGGCACGGCCTCTCCTTGTCCTGCGGGCGAGCTCCGAGGCCAGGCTGGAGGCCACATGCGGAGGCCGCTGGCCCTGGGCGCCGGGGGCTCGGGCCGTCCCTGCGGCAGCCACAGCACCGCTGCGTCCTCCGAGCAGAGCCAGCTCCGGTCTTGCGGATGCAGAAGGCCCTACAAGCCCAGGGGCTGAGGGGCTGAGGGAGAGGGGCTGCGGGCACCGGCCTCGGGAGGCGCAGCCCTCACACCGCGGCCAGGGCGCCCCCTCAGCGGGCGGCGGGCTCCTGTGGGCGGCAGGACGGCGCGGCCCAGCCTCCCGCTCACACAGCCCGTCCAGGGCAGCTGCCACCTCGGGGCTGGGTGGCCTTGCTCGGGGCCTCCCAGGAAGCAGGGCAGGCCGGGCGCTTCGAGGGGCTGCTCAGCTCTCCTGCGCCCGCAGCTTCTGGGCCCCTCCTGGGACCACAGCCCTCGGGCCCAGCTTGGGGCGGGGGCCTCCCAGAGAGGGGAGCCCCCCCCCCCCCGCAGCCGCCAGCCCCCGTCAGTCAGACCCCAGTTACACTACATGATCCCGGGGGTCCCGTCAGCACTAACGGCCTGGTTCTGGGTTCGAGTATTTATTGTCACAGTATTTCCTGGGCGGTGTTGCCTTCTCCGTGTTCGCTGTGTGAGATGGGAAGACGCGGCTCCGGCTGCCTCTGGGCATGGGCAGCAGCAGCGTGACCCGGCCCGCCCCGAGCAGAGATGCCAGCTCTCGGCCGGGACGGGGTCGGAGCTTCGTAACGGGGCTTGTTGCCGCCAGGAGCCTCCCGCCTGCCACTTCGGTGCCCCTGAGGCCTGCCTGGGCTCGCTGCCCTGCCCTCCTGCCCAGGTCCCGGCAGGGCCTGGGTGGGCGTGCTGTCCCTCAGGTCCCCGACTGGGAGGCCAGGGCAAGGCTCCTCCTCTTCCTTCCTGCCGACACCCCCAGTTTGCCTCCACACACTCAATGCTTCTCACTCCAGCCCAGCCTTCCGGAAGGTTCCAGGGTCTGTGGGCCCCTAGGGAAAAGCGCCGAGGAGGGGTCCGTGCTCCTCCCGCCTTGAACCACCACCTGAGCCTCCACCTCCCACCAGGACTCGCTCCTCCGTCCACCCCGATGGGGCCACGGCAGATGCCCTGTGCTGCCCGCCTCCGGCCAAGCCGGTCCCCCTTAGCGCCGGGCTGTCCTAGAGAGAGGACGGACATGGGCGCCTGCCGCTCCGGTTCCCGCGTGAGGCTGGGGATTGGGGGACCAGGGAGGAGGAGTGCGTGGTGTTTTGTCCATCGTCCCCGGAGCCTGGCGTGGGCCAGTGCCCAGCGCCGCCCAGCAGAGCCGGTCGGAGGCGGGTTCTTGCATGTAAACTACCCCAATAAACAAGCAGGTGGTTCCTGTGATCGCTGTGGAGTCGCTGTGACTCGGGTGGCAGGGCCTGCCCGCCTGGTCCTAGGAGCCCGGGGCGAGGGTGGAGCAGTCTGGGGAGCCCCCCTGGCTGAACCCCCGCCCCCTGGGGTTGGGTGGTGGCGGCTGGCACCGCCTGCACAGCGGCCTGAGGCTCCGGGCCGCGGGTGGAGACGGGCTCACAGTGGACATCCTCTCCGTGTGGACGGCTGGGTGCCTGCTAGTATGTTCCCGAGCTGACGCCGTCACAGGGCCCCGTCCTCCCCACCTGCTCCTCTCCTCCGGGCGGGGCAGGGCTGGGCACTTGCTGCCAGGAGGGCCGGGAGCAGGCTGGGCCCGGGAGGGCTGCGGGAGCCGTGGTGCTGCCCCTCCTCGGAGCAGCTCGGGAGCTTGCCTGCCCCTTCGCCTCCCTGAGGCCCAGGATGGGCTCCCAGTGGACAAGACCCATAAACAGCCGGGTGAACCGAGCAAGTGCAGCGATGGTGCTCCCCTCGTGGGCACGTCGAGAATGAGCTGGTGGCTCAGTGGTTGGCGCATCGGGTTTAATTCCTGGTCAAGGGCATGTGCCTGGGTTTCAGGTTCTCTCCCACCTCACCCGGTCGGGCGAGTGCAGGAGGCAACAAGCCCTGTCCTCCCTCCTGCTCTGAAAACCAAGGGAACACGGCCTCCGGTGAGAACTGAAAGCAGCGGCTGGAGGTGGCCCTGCACCTGCGGGCGTGTGGGGCAGCAGCAGAGCCAGCGCTCCGGCCAGGCTCCGGCGTGTTGAGGAGTGGACAGAAGACGCCATCTCCCCATCTCCGGCCCGGACACCCGCGGGCAGGGGTGCGGGTGGAGGGGCGGGTGTCAGGGGGGTGCCCCGCCTCCGCAGGAGCAGGGGGCGGTGACGGCCACACCGGCACAGCCAGGGCCGCCCTGGGCTGAGGGAGCCGCCAGGCGAGGCAGAAGGAGGACTGAGGCCCCGCGGGCAGGCGGCCTGGGAAAGGAGCCGCCGGCCCCTGTGCGGCCTGTGAGGGCTGTGGGCTCCGAGGCCAGAGCTGGGTCCCCGGCTGGGGGAGGGGCTGACACCCCTTGTCTGCAGGACATAGGTCCACCTGTGCCTTCAGCCACGCGCCAGGAGTTGAGCGAGCCAGGCAGTGCTGTCTGCAGCCGCCCCTTCCCAGAACCAAGCAGCCCTGGAGCCCCTCCTGGGGGGGGCAGGAAGCCCTGGAGCCCCTCCTGGGGGGGGGCAGGAAGCCCTGGAGCCCCTCCTGGGGGGGCAGGAAGCCCTGGAGCCCCTCCTGGGGGGGGTACAGGAAGCCCTGGAGCCCCTCCTGGGGGGACAGGAAGCCCTGGAGCCCCTCCTGGGGGGGCAGGAAGCCCTGGAGCCCCTCCTGGGGGGGGGACAGGAAGCCTGGAGCCCCTCCTGGGGGGCAGGAAGCCCTGGAGCCCCTCCTTGGGGGACAGGAAGCCCTGGAGCCCCTCCTGGGGGGGCAGGAAGCCCTGCAGCCCCTCCTGGGGGGCAGGAAGCCCTGGAGCCCCTCCTTGGGGGACAGGAAGCCCTGGAGCCCCTCCTGGGGGGGGGCAGGAAGCCCTGGAGCCCCTCCTGGGGGGGGAGGGGGGTAGGCAGGAGCAGCCAGCCATGCTAGGGAGGGAAATCACTCAGCTCTGACCCAACTGACCAGGCTCCAGGGGCTCTCACCAGCCTGGTGGGACTGGCAAGAACGTTTTCCCAGCAGGTTAACTGCCTTCCTTAAGGAGAGGCCTTTGAGGGGTTTGGGGGAGGAAGAGGAGGCCTGTGGGGGGAGGAAGAGGAGGCCTGGGGGGGAGGGGGAGGAAGAGGAGGCCTGGGGGGAGGGGGAGGAAGAGGAGGCCTGTGGGGGGCGAGGAAGAGGAGGCCTGGGGGTTGGGGGAGGAAGAGCAGGCCTGGGGGGGGGAGGAGGAAGAGGAGGCCTGTGGGGGGAGGAAGAGGAGGCCTGGGGGGAGGGGGAGGAAGAGGAGGCCTGGGGGGAGGGGGAGGAAGAGGAGGCCTGGGGGGGAGGGGGAGGAAGAGGATGCCTGAGGGGGAGGGGAGGAAGAGGAGGCCTGGGTGGGGAGGAAGAGGAGGCCTGTGGGCGGGGGAGGAAGAGGAGGCCTGGGGGGGGAGGGGGAGGAAGAGGAGGCCTGGGGGGAGGGGGAGGAAGAGGAGGCCTGGGGGGAGGAGGGGGAGGAAGGGGATGCCTGGGGGGAGGGGAGGAAAGGGAGGCCTGAGGGTTGGGGAGGAAGGGGAGGAGTGTGAGCCCTCCCTTGGTGGCAGCAGTGGTGCTGTGCTGGGGGAATGCACTGTCAAACGTAACTGAAACGTTGGCGCTCCAGCTTCCGGGCAGCTGGGCAGAGGCGCGTGGGGACGGTCCGAGCCTGCCCCTGTGCTCGGCCCTGCCCTCCTAGCGGGGAGAGGGCTCCCTGGGCAGTGCCGTGGGGTCCTGACCGCCCGGACCAGCCGCACAGGGAGGGAGAGCTGGGGAGCGGACAGGGTGGTCAGCCGCGTGGGGGCGGGCACAGCCAGGACAGACTCCCCACCCGCCTGTCTGCCTCCGGAGCTCTCCGCCACGGCCTCCGCCACGGCCTGGGCGGGCAGCGGGGAGCCCGAGGCCCTGCCACGGCTCCTGGCTCCCTGCGGCTAGTCCCCCGTGGAAGCAGCTAGGAGGAGTCTTTACAGCCCACTCCTTTCTAAACGGAGAGTCTCTTTGGAGTCCTGAGGGGCTGGGGGGACCAGAGGCCTCCACAGGCATGAGTCCAGTGATTCTCGCTTCTCCGTGCTCCTGCTAGAGGCCAGCGGGCCCCCCGAGCCAGGCCTCCGACTGGGGCGCTCCTCCTTCCGGGGCCAGCTCCTCCTCACCCGTGTCCACTCTACAAGCCCCTCCCGCGTGCAGCCTCTGGTGGTCCCCGAGCCAGTCACTGCCCAGGCCTCCCCCTGACTCCGGGGAGCCCGGGACGCCCCGGCCTGGCTGGCCCAAAGGGCGCCCGTCACGGAGCCCAGCCTTGCTCAGTGAACCCCGACTTTTGGGACCCTACAGGACCAGGTAGAGTCGCAATCGACCTTTGGGGCCGGTTCCCTCTCCCTGCCGCCGACCTGACCCACCCCATCCTGTGACCCACCCGTCCCTCCGTCTACGCCTGGCCTCCCCAGGCAGCCAGGCAGCCACGGGACAGTCTCCCCTCCCTCACTTGTCATGTCTGTGAGCCTCACTCCACACCATGCACAAGGCTGGGGTCCCACCAGCTCTTCGGGAGGGTCCCCTCCATGTGTTCTGATGGCCCTGTGCTGGCCGAGAGCCGAGAGGCCGGCAGTGACCTCCCCGGTGCGTGGCAGGGGCCAGTCTGGACCGAGGGCACCGCCGTCTGCACCAGCACCAGCCACTTCTGCAGCCCCGGCCACGTCTGTGCGGACAGGAAAGCGGGGAGGGCGCCAGGGCTCCGGCCGGCCGGTGCCGCTCGCCCTGCCGCTGTGTCCCGGGCGGGTCTGGCTCGGCTCCCGCAGAAGCCAAGTACGAACGGCAGGCGGGCGGCGGGGCGTCTCAGTAGCCGCCTCACAGTGCCAGGTGGCCAAGCCTGCCTTCTCGTGCACTGCCTGCCCTCCACCCACAGTGGGCATGGCTTGGCACGAGGGGCCTTGGCAGAAGCCCTGCCTGTGCTGGGCACCTGCCCCACCTGGTGTGCAGCCACAGACGCTCAGGGGTGCTCTGGGGGAAAGGAAGGGGTGCCCGTACTTCACATTGGCAAAGCCAAGGTCATCCAGGGAGGGCAGGGCTTTGGGACCACAGTCCCAAGGGCTGGAGGCGTTGAGTGGAGGGTGAGCCACTTGGGTCAGCCTCCCGGGTCTCCAGGACACACCTGGCGGCTCTGAGCCACACGTGGGGCCTGGAAGCTGCCAAGAAAGCAGGCCCAACTGGCCAGACCCTGCCGGCGCTGGCACCACGCTCTGCCCGCCCCCAGGTCGCACAGGCGAAAAGCATGTGAGCCAGGCCTGGCTCCTCGGAGCTTCTCACTGACATCACCACGTCACCCCACTCCAGGCAGGGAGCCCATTGGCTGCGCCAGGCCTGTGGGGCGAGGCTTGTCTGGCTCTGTGCCCCCCTCCCCCTGGGTCTCCGGTGGCTGCCCTGCCCCAGCCCACTGGGTGACAAGCCAGCGGCTCCTCAGGTTGCCGGACTGCCATGCACGTGGGCCTCAGGGCTGTGAACTCCTGGGCGGCCGCGTTCCCTCGCCTCGGTCTCCACATCTGGGCATTGGGAACGGCAGCCCCGCCCCATCAGACAGTTCATGTGGGAAGCACCATGTCATCGCAGACCCCGTCCGCCAGGCGGGACCCTGCCTTCGAGGCACCCGGGAGGGGGCCACCACGATGGCACCCAGCTTCCCAGCCCGGAGGAGCCTGGGAGCCGGCTTGGAGGTCTCAGCTCCGGGGACGGCGCGGGAAGGGGGCACCTCAAGAAGCAGCCGGCTCCCCGGCGCTGGCCGCTCAGGCTGCGGCGCCACTGGGACACTCCTGCCCCCCCAAGTGGGAGGAAGCCCCCGTTTCAGCGGGCGTCTCTGACCGGCTTAGCGTCCTGTGGACTGGCCCTGCCCCTTCCCGCACCGAGCCTGCTCCTGCCTCGCGTGGTAAACTCCCGTAGGAGGGAGGCGGTCTGCGTGGCAGTGACTCCGTGGCCGGCGGGTCTTCAGGGCGGGAGGCTGCTCTCATCGTAGCAGAGGCTCAGGAAGGCCAAGTGAGTGGTCCAGTCACAGTAAGTGAAGAGCCCGTCAGCTTCTGGCTCTGAAGAGGGGCTTGAGGCTCCCCAGCCGCCCTCCCCGCGGCCCACTCCCCCCAGTGCCCTCTCCCCCAGCCACCCTCTCCCCCAGCAGCCCTCTCTCTCCCCCAGCCGCCCTCCCTGGAAGCCTGCCAGCATGTTCAGGGACATCACCAGGCAGCAAAGCCTCTGCTCCATGGCCGGGCCCGGCGGGCTCCTGGGCAGGGAAGGGAGTGTGGTTTGGATCCCCGTGGCTCCTGGCCACCCATTCTGGGCAATTCCCCACAGCAGCCACTTCCAGGAAGGGAACAAAGAGCGGCCAATGTGTCACTAACGTTACTTCTTGGGAAGATGTGGCCGGACAGGCTAAATCTAGAACCTGAGCAAGACAGCGCTGGGGACGGCAGGACTCACTGCAGCCAGGGCACGAGGGCGGGGGTCCAGGCTTCTCCCCGTCGCCCTCACCATGGGGCCTCTCTGCGGGCACACCTCCGGGGACAGGGGCTCATGTTTTCCCATTTCGCATGTCTGAATGTTCCCCTTATTGCAATCCACTTCGCTGGAATCCTCCCGCCTGACCCAAGCACAGGCCTAGGGTGTGACTCCAGTCCCCTCCCCAGCCCGGCCTGTCCATCAGAGCAGCCGGCCTGTCCATCAGAGCAGCCCGCTGGTCTCAGCACCCTCGACACCGTGGCCACTCTCTCATGCCCCATCCTGGCTGCTCCCGGGATAGGTACCGGGGCTGGCGCCCCAGCCTGGGCCCAGCTCCCCGAGTCCCTGTGGAGCCTGCGGTCCTGGGCAGGTTGGATCTTAGGACGCCCTGGTCCTCCTGTCCTGGTACTGAGGCCAGGCCACCTTAAGGGCGGCCCACGCCCTTCTGCCTCCCGGCCTGGGGGAGGAGGCTTGTTAAGTCAGGACCCTCCAGCCAGCCTCCTCCAAGGCCCGCGTGGGACCCGGAGACGGCAGGGAGCCGCTGACCTCGCACATCGCCAGCCTCCGCCAACCTGCCGAAGGGCATCCAGGTCCCGTTCACTGAGGAAACTGAGGCCGGAGCTGTGCGGGCGGTCTGTCTGGTCCTAAAGACCCTCATCCCAGAGGGAGGACCCCTGGGGTCCCGGCGGCCACTCAGAGAGGCCGCGGCGCCGGGGGGAGGGACGCGGGAGGGACGGGGCTCCGGGCCGCCAGGTGGGGCGGGGCCGCCGGGGCGGGGCCTGCGCGCCGCCCGGAGCCGCGGCCCAGAGTCCGAGGCGCTGGCGCGGGGCCGGACGCAGCGCTCGGGCGAGAGCCGTGCGCGCCGGGCCGACCCGGGGAGCGCCATGGACGAGCCGCCCTTCGCGGCCCTGGAGCGGGCGCTGGCCGAGCCCTGCGAGCTGGACGCCGCGCTGCTGACGGACATCGAAGGTGCGTCGGCGCGGGAGCGGCTTCCCGGGCGGGCGGCCGGCGGCGCGGCGCGGCGGCTCGGGCTGCGCCATCGGCCCTGGGGTGGCGGCCGGGACACCGCGTCCCAGAGCCCTCAGCCCCGCGCCGGACCGGCCTCGCCAGGCCCCGCCCGGCCCGTGACGTGGGCGCGGGGTTACTCTCGGTCAGTCCCCGGCCAGAGTGCGCCCCGCGCCGGCCCCGCCCCCGGCCTCCGCCCCGCGGCCCGCGGCCCGCGGCCCCCGGCCTCCGCCCCGCGGCCCGCGGCCCCCGCCCCCCGCCCCCGGCCTCCGCCCCCGGCCCCCGCCCTGCGCCCCGCGGCCCCCGGTCCCCGCCCTCCGCCCCCCGGCCTCCGCCCTGCGCCCCCCTCCCCTCCCGCCCCCGGCCTCCGCCCTGCGCCCCCCCTCCCCTCCCCTCCCGGCCCCCGCCCCCCGGCCCCCGCCCCCGCTCCCGGCCTCCTCCCTCCGCCCTGCGCCCCCCTCCCCTCCCGGCCTCCGCCCCCCGCCCGCGCCCGGTGCCCTCCGCCCTCCGCCTCCCCCCCCCCCCCGCCCGCGGTCCGATGGCGGGGTTGCGGGGGGGGGGGGGGGGAAGCTCTGTGGATTTCAGTCCTGTCCCAACGCGCAGCTCGAACAGCTGGGCTACGCCCTGGGGCGCAGGAAGCCGGGTGGGCTGGGTGAGCACTGGGGCTGGCGCCGGGTCAGACCTCTGGAGGGACGCGGAGCTGAGGCCGCTGGGCCCTGAGGAGCTGGAGCCGCCCGGTGGGTGGGAAGGTGCCCAAGGGGGGCCGGGAGGGCGGCGCCGCCAGCTGGTTCTTTGCATCTTTTAAAGCACCGCCGCTGCTTGTACGGGGAAGGGGTCCCCAGGAGGAGGGGTTTGGGGACCGCGGAGTAGCAGGTGCCTAGGAGGGTGTCACCCTCCATGGTTGTCCAGGTTCAGCAGCTCCGGCCGAATTGCACTTGGTTGATAGGGAAACTGAGGCCAGCAGCTCAGGACTCGCTCCCCACCACCGGGTGGACGCCTCAGAGTGCCTGTGCGGCCGGGTTCGCAGCACAGCCTACCCCTGCCGCCTGCTGCCCTACGGCCAGGGATGCCCAGAGGGGAGCCCTGACCGCTGTCCTGGCCAGCAAGCCGGGCCGCTAACAGCCACGGTGCGGTTCGCTTTGGCCAAGTGGGCAGACCTGGCTTCGGGGTCAGGGCGTGAAACTGGACACAAGCCCTCTGACACCCCTCCGGTCCGTCCCGTGCTTCCCTTCCAATCAGAGCAGGTGTGTCTGGCACAGGCCTTGGTTGTTGACTCATTTATAGGAACCTTCTACCTGCACCCAAAGGCGGGACTGGGCAGCCATTGGGGTGGGGGCATTTGGAGCTCAGACTAGGCCCCACCTCATCTGAGGAAAGACAGAACTGGCCCTGCCCCAGCCCCGTCCGCTCGCCTGAGCTCGGGAGGCCGGACCACTTCCAGCGGCTGGCCTGCTGGGCAGAACCCGTGGCAGTTTTCAGGAGAGGGCCCCAGCTTCGGGGGGGTGGGGGGGATTGGAAAAAGAAAAGGCAGCCTCAGAGGCCTGCAGACTCCCCACGCCCCCTCTGCCTACGAGCCACCACGCTGTCATGGTGCCACTGCCCAGAGCCACGCCGGCAGGGGACTCTCATTGGACTGGATGTAAGGGCTGCCCTTGAGGCCGAGCATTTCTTGTTTGTTATTCACCCTTTTCTGGGCCCCCCTCCCCCGTTTACACAGCTAAGTTCTTTGCATCGTAGAAGAATTAGAAAGCACAGGTGAGCAAAAGGGAAAAAATACAGCCTTCCTTAACCTTCTGCCATGGAGAAGCGGTTAACACGTGTGCCTGTACAAGCTCCTTCAGACGCCCTCGGCCCCCTTTATGGGGGTATGACTCACCTATTATGAGATTTGCCCGTTTCAGTGTACAGTCCGGTGAGTGCAGTGCGTTCACCCAGCCGGTGGCATCCCCAGGCGGTTGAAGAACATTCTCGTCTCCCCGGCAAGGTCAGCTCTCCCGCCCGCAGCCCGGCAGCCCCTCGCTGTGCTTTTAGAGATTAGAGGAGAGCCCGATGGCACCTGCTTTGTTTCATGCCAACAGCCAGACAGCAGCAGGGTCGGTCACACTGGCTCGGAGGCTCCTGCTCCGTCCACAGACAGGCTGTGCCTTGGGGGCGGGGGAGCCGGGCAGGTTGATCAGGTCCAGGGAGGGGGACTGAGGGTGTGAAGGGCAGGGTCTCCAGGCCCCTGACAGGACAAGGGCTGAGAGGTGTGCCAGGCAGTGCCAGGATGTAGGCCTCCGGTGCCAGGACGCAGAGGCAGGCTGAGAAAGCAGGGGTTACTTGTCCTAAGCTTCCCCTAGAGGCTGGGGTAGAGACTTAGGGACTTAGCTGAACACCTGCTGTGTGCCAGGCACTACGCTGACCGCCGAGGCCTCCCCACACCCCCAAGGGGGTAGGCTTCGGCTCTCCCCACAGACTGTGCCGGGGCACGGAGAGGTTGAGTGAATTTCTGACTCACAGCCAGATCGCCGCAGAGCGGGGTCAGACCCGGCTGTGGGCTCCTAAGAGGGGGGTTCGGGTGTGGAGAGTGGGCAATAGAGCAGGGAGGCCAAGGGCTGCTCCATGGGGTTGTGCTGGGGCCCGGGTCAGAGAGGTCAGGGGCCGCAGGCCACTCCCTCCCCAGCCCAGAGTGGCCTTAGAGTCACGAGACTGAGGTCTGGCACCAGCCAGGGCCCGGCCGCACCCGCCGGCCACGCCCTCTGCCGGTGACGGGGCTTGGCCGGGCAGAGGCCTGTGGCTGTGGGTCAGCTTTGCTTGCGGCTGCCCCACCAGCTCCTCCGGCCTCTGTCCGTGCTTTGCTGGGGCCAGCGGCCGTGGCGAGGGACTGTCCTGCTGCACGTGTGTGGACTGTGGAATATCAGATTGTCATACGCTGAGGCCTCGGCCTCCGGCAGCCCTGGCTGAGGGACCGCAGCCTGCGTGCCGTGTCACCCCTGGGCCTGACAAGCTGTGTGCGCACCCCCCAGCCCTCTCCCCCAAGGCGCCTAAGCAGCACCGCAGCTTCCCGCCAAGGCCCAGCCCTGTGTGATGCCCGCTCTGGGTTCGGGCAGCCCCGATGCTGAGGACAGTGGGGGCCACACTGCCCTCGGGCACCACCCGCTACAGCTTGTGCCACTTCTCCCCCTGCGCCTCTGAGCACAGCTCCCTCCAGAAAACACGGAGATCGACGCCTGCTGCCCAGCTCCCGGCTCCAGGCACATGGCTCCGGGGCCCAAACCCCTACGGCTCCCAGTGCCCCCGAGACAAAACTCCTGTGCCAGCTGCCCTCCTGCCATCCAGAGCTGACTCCGGCACCCCCTCCCTCTGCGGTCTTCCCCAGGAGCCTGCCTGCCTCTGACCGCAGGGCCGCCCCTGGGAAGCAGGGGTAGCGGCTATAAGATGTTCTGCCCTGGAGCCCCATGCCCTGAGTGGGCAGGGCGGGGCACAGAGAGAAGCATGCTGGGAGTAGGTCCAACAGACAGGCAGACGGGTGGCTGGGAGTTACCTCCTGCTCAGGGGTCACCTCGTGGACAGAAACACCCTGAGTGACCTGTCAGCCCAGGCAGGGTCACTGCCGGCCAGAAGCCGGGCCTGGACTTTCGCCTCCAGCAGCTGCGCCTCAGGGAGTGGCTGAGCGGCCGGAGGAGTGTCTGCCTGCCTCTGTCAGGCACAGGTTCTGTGGCCGCGCACCCTGACCCTGGGCTGACAGGGCTCCTGGGAAGGGGGGCCTGGTTTTGTTCCAGATCTGTGAGCCCCACTGGGTTTGAGGTGTGGGCGGTGTGGGCAGGGCTGGGAGAGCTGGTAGCGTGGAGAAACCCACTCTGACCGGGAACCCTGCTGCAGCCCCCATCGGACACCCCGCTTTCTCCACGAGCCTGCCCTTCCGGCTCACACCTCAGGTCTGCCCTCCGGGCTCCGAGGCCCGAGCTCCTGCTGCCACCAGGTTGGGCCGGAGGGCGTGCCGGTCAGTGGTGTGCGGCCACGGCGAATCTGACCTCAGGCTCTCATTAGCGCACGGGGATCACCACACACCAGCTTCTCAGAGTTGTGGCCAGTACACAGCACATAGTAGGCCCTCACCCAGTTATCAGAGGACTTAGCCAGGACCTGGCACCTAATACGTTTAGCTAAACTAACGGTAGCAGTGGGTATCCAAGGCGCCTGCGTTGAAGGTTTCTAGGATGTTCTAGGCCAGTGGCCGGCAAACTCATCAGTCAGCAGAGCCAAATATCAACAGTACAATGATTGACATTTTTTTTTTTTTTACTATATTTTTTATTGATTTTATACAGAAAGGAAGGGAGAGAGATAGAGAGCTAGAAACATCAATGAGAGAGAGTCATCGATCAGCTGCCTCCTGCACACCCCCTACTGGGGATATGCCCGCAACCAAGGTACATGCCCCTGACCGGAATCGAACCCGGGACCCTTCAGTCCCCAAGCCGACGCTCTATCCATTGAGCCAAACCAGTCCCGGCTGAAATCTCTTTTGAGAGTCAAATATTTTTTAAACTTAAACTTATTCTAATGCCACTTCAAAATAGACTCTCCCAGTCCGTGGTGTTTTGTGGAAGAGTCACACTCAAGGGGCCAAAGAGCCGCATGGGAGAGCCACAGTTTGCCGACCATGGTTCTGGGCTATGGTTCCTAGCTCTGAGCATCCGCCACTTGGGGACTCTGGGTTTCTGAGTGGGAGACGAAGTGGGGCTGGTCTATCCACTGGGCACACCAGCCAGGGCGATACTTTGGGGGTTCAGTGCCCAGAGCTGTGTTTAGTCCCCGCCCGGAGTATCGCCGAGCGCCCTGCACCCCCCGTGCAGCAGGCAGAGGTGAGCGTGGGCAGGAGCTGCCGGGCCTCCGTGGGGAGGCTGCGTGTTCTGTCCACTCTCCTCCTGGCAGAGGCCTCCGGCCTGGGCAGCACAGGGCAGTGCAGGGGCCTTTCCTGCCGGGCCCGCGAGGATGGCGACCTCGCTCAGGTGACAGGCAACGGGGTTGGAGTCCAGCTTCTCGCTGCCTCCCTGACCTCCACCCTCACGCCCACTGAGCACGCTGCCTCCTGTCGGCGCGCCTCTTCCCTGCCCAGGTCATCTGCACTTCTGTCTCCTCTGCCCAGGGCACCTCCCGCCCTGTGGCCGCTCCCTTGCTTCACTCGGGGTCACGTCCTCAGAGAGGCCTGTGCATCCCCAGTGGCCCTTCGCACTCTACCTGCCTCCCTCCCTCCCTCCCTGAGCTCAGGGCCCCGCACGCTCCTCTCCGGACACGGCACGGTGGCGCCTGCCCAGCCGTGGGTGGGCTTCAGTGAGGGAGCGCAGCACAGGAGGGGGGAGGAGGGTTCTGGGGCCTTGGCCCGGGGGCCATGCGAGGGCCTGGGCATCGCCCGACGAGGCCTCCTCCTCCGTGCGGTGTCCCGTGTCTCCAGTGCCTGGCGAGCCTGACACAGCGGACACAGGACAGCAGTCATGACCAGAGATACAGATCTGGGCTTCACGAACAGGCCGCGCCACAGAGGTGGTGAGCGTCCTGTAATGGGAGGCATGTAAGCAGGTTGGGGCTTGAGGCCTCACGCAGGCTGGACGGGCTGTAGCTTCTGTGATGGTCAGAGCTGGGCTCCTGCAGGTTTAGGGTCTGAGACCTCCCAGGGTTTCTGTTGTGGCCTCTCAGAGTAAACAGGCCAGAGACTGAAAGGCTGACCCACATCTGCCTTGGGAGGGTGTGAAGGGGGGAGGCAGGAGGGTTCAGGTTTCCTGTTGGGTCCTGATAGAATCAGGACAGAAGAGGAGGAAAGAGAGGAGGAAGGAGGGACTCAGGCTGGAGGAGGAGGCAGGGAAGGTGAAAAATGGGGGGCGGGCACTGAGGCCCAGTCTGCACCTCCTCCTCTTCCCCTAAGGTCAGCGCTGGCTCTGAGCTGCCTTCGGGCAGAAGGCCCGGAGCTCCTGTCCTGGCTCCCAGAGGCGGGGCCGGGGGAGGCGGGAGGCAGCTGGGCTGCAGGTTAAATTCTCCATGAACCGTCCCCACCAGGGTTTCCAGCCTTCACCTGCTCTCAGAGCCTCCTCTGGACCAGGGAGCGGGGGGCGGCTGCCCAGGGTCACACAGCCAGTGCGGCTGGGGTGGGGACTATGGGGCTGGGTCGCCCAACTCCGCAGAGCTGGGAAGAGAGAGATGGGGCAGGGCAGGCACCGGGGCAGGGATGGCCGCTTCCCTGCAGCCCCCAGGCCCAGTCTCCCCGAGCCCCGCTTAACCACCCGGGTCCTCTGCCCAGGCCAGCCCTCCGGGAGGGTCACGGAGTGCGGCCCCCATGCCGCCTCGCTCTGGGCGCACGGGCGGAGCTCGCGGCGCCGGACACCGGTGAGAGGGGGGAGTGCGGCTGGGGGCGGACCCCGCGAGGACAGAACAGGCGCGGTGGCGCCTGCCCAGCCGTGGGTGGGCTTCAGTGAGGGGCGCAGCACGGGAGCGGGGAGGAGGGTCCGGGGCCTTGGCCTGGGGGCCATGCGAGGGCCTGGGCACCGCGGGAGGAGGGGGGAGGAAGCAGGTCCAGTTTCCTACGGAGGCTCCTGGAGAGGCTCCAGCCAGCACCACCTGCTCCGCCGCCAGCTGCCTGCCCCCGCGGCCCCTCCACGCCGGCCGCCGCCGCAGGGCGTGGCCTCGGTACCCCCTCAGGCCCCCCAGAGCCTGCCCCCTGGGGCTGCACCTGCCTCCCTCGCCCGTCAGAGGACCCTCCAGGGCAGGATCAGGCCTTCCCTGGACTGCGGGGGGGGGGGGGGGGGAGGAGAGGGGCTAGGAGACGGGGAGGGGGAGGCAGACCTCCCTGACCCCCGCCCCCACACACCCCGCCCGCCTCGGCAAAGGGACGGCTGTGCGGGGTCCGGAGCCGCAGCGTCCTCTGGGGATGCGTGGGGGGTGCCTTCCTCGCCCTGGGAAGGGTGCTCTAAGGGTTAAACAGGCCTCGAGGGTGGCGACCCGCGGGGTGTCGGGAGCCTGGGGTGTCCAAGCCGGTGCCTGGGTGCTGGCCGCGCCCGCGGTGACCGCCAGTGCCCCGGGCCGGCCGCGGGCAGTGCCCGGGGGTAACCCCTGGGCGGGTGAAACCTGAAGCCGGGCGGCGGCGGGGGCGGGGCGGGGGCGGGGCCGGCGGCGGCGCGCTGATTGGCCGCGGCCGCTCACCCCATGCCCGCGGCGGCGCAGGTGCAGGTGCGGCGGAGCGGCGGAGCGGCGGCGCCATGGACTGCACGTTCGAAGGTACCGGAGGCCCCGCGCCGCCAGCGGTCAGCCGAGCGGGAGGCCGGCCGGGGGCGCCCCAGCCCGGGGCGCTGCCCCCGCGGCCGCGCGGGGCGGGAAGGCGGCGCCCGGCCCGGGGCCCTCCTCCCCGCGGGGCGCGAGTCTGGGCGTCTAACCCGGACCCCAGCGCGGGCCGTTCTCCTTGGGGCCTCAGTTTCCCCATCTTTGGAAGAGGCTCAGTGAGGACGGCGAGGGAGGGAGAGGCTGCAAGGGGAATGTGTTATGAACCTCATAACCTCGGGGCCCACAACGTGCTTCTGTTTGGGGCCAGGGAGGCTGAGCCGGCACCCCTGTTGCCTTTTGGAGGCCACAGGGCGCCCCGCAATAACCGGGGCCTGGGCACCTGCGGAGGAAGGAGCCAGCAGCACCAAGGGGAGCTGCCTCCCAGCGAGACCTCAGCATCCTGCCAAGAGGGGCTCCCCTCCGCTCCCTTCCCTCCCCTCCCTCCCCTCCCCTCTCTTCCCCTCCCTCCGGGTGTGGCCAGGGATGAGGCCACAGGCAGTGAGGGAGGCCCAGGCCCGGCCCCACCCACCGCAGGGGACAGGCCAGAGCTCAGGCTGCGGTCTCTTTTGGGGCCCAGGGGCCCTGCAGGAACTGTGACCCAGTGGGTAGCTGCCCGTAGTGGGTTAGAGGCCCCAGGCTGACCCGCCGGAGGTGGCCTGCGGCCAGGCTGGCTGTCGGGGAGAGGTCCCAGTCTGCAGGGGCCTCAGGACGGCTGTGGAGGGAAGCGAGCCGAGCGGCCCCGGCGTGCTGGGGGCGGCAGTTTGGGCAGAACACAGACACTCTCTGCCGAGGAGGAAGGTGGCCAGGGCGGCTCTGTCTCGGCCGAGGTGTGGGCCCAGGGAAGGGCCTTGGGCCCCGGCCGTGCGTCGCCCAGACCTGCCCGTGTGCCAGGGGAGGCGCACGGTCGCTCCGTCAGGGGCCCGGGAGGGGCTGTGCGTCCGGGAGCACAGCCCCACCGGGTGCGCTGCCTTCGCATGTGCCGCGTGTGGATGGGGCGTGCACACGCCTGACGCTCTCCCAGCCAGCGGCTCCTGTCCTCACAGCCCTTCTCCTCCCCAGACATGCTTCAGCTCCTCAGCAACCAGGATGCCGACTTCCCCGGCCTGTTCGACCCGCCCTACGCGGGGGCCGGAGCGGCAGACCCCGCGCGCCCCGACACCGGCTCTCCGGGCAGCTCGTCCCCGCCGCATGCCACCATGAGCTCCCCACTCGAAGGCTTTCTGGGGGGGCCCCAGGCGGTGCCCCCACTGCTGCCCCCTCCCCAGCCTGCTCCCACACTGAAGATGTACCCGTCCGGGCCCGCCTTCTCCCCCGGGCCTGGCATCAAGGAGGAGCCGGTGCCGCTGACCATCCTGCAGCCCCCCGCCCCACAGCCCCTGCCAGGGGCCCTCGAGCCCCAGAGCTTCCCGGCCTCGGCCCCGCAGCTCAGCTCGGGCCCGGGGCCCGGCTTCCCCACAGGTGAGGACGTGGGGGGGCAGCGGGCAGGGCAGGGCGGCTGTGGTGCCAGCACAGGAGCTGGCAGGCGGTGACATGGTGTCCTGTGGGTTAATAAGCTTTGCCTCCCCCTCTGCTACTGGACACACGTGCCTGGCAGGGGGCCACTCACCTCAGAGCCCAGGCAAGGCGCTGGGGAGGAAACGGGGTGTGACTCGCCACGGTCACGTGACAGGCCCCGAGGCAGGGCTGAAGTGGGTCAGGGCAGCCCGTCCCCAGCCCGACTTTGTTTCTGCAGGGGCCCCTCCAGGGAGCACCCCGCAGCCACAGCCTGGCCCCCCAGGGGCCCCGCCGGTCTCCTTGCACACCCAGGTTCAGGGTGCAGCCCCCCAGCCACTGCTGACAGCCACAGCCCCCGGCACAGCGGCCCCCGGAGCTGCCTCCGTGGCCTCCCAGATCCAGCAGGTCCCGGTAAGGGGGTGCCAGGCGCGGGGGGTGGCAGCCTCTGGCGCAGCCCAGCTCACAGCGGGGCCTCCCGCCCCAGGTCCTGCTGCAACCCCACTTCATCAAGGCCGACTCGCTGCTGCTGACGACCGTGAAGGCCGACCTGGGCCCCCCCGGGAAGGCCGCGGGCAGCGGCTCCCTGGCCGCGGGCACCGCGGTGCAGACCGGGCCCTTGCAGGTGGGTGGCAGGGCAGGGCGGGCGGCGGTGGGTGCGCCCTCACGCAGGCCGCCCGGTGACCCGTGCCGGCCCCGCAGACCCTAGTGAGTGGCGGGGCCATCCTGGCGACGGTGCCGCTGGTCGTGGACGCCGACAAGCTGCCCATCAGTCGGCTGGTGGCCAGCGGAAAGGCCCCGGGCGCGGCCCAGAGCCGCGGAGAGAAGCGGACGGCCCACAACGCCATTGAGAAGCGCTACCGCTCCTCCATCAACGACAAGATCATCGAGCTCAAGGACCTGGTGGTGGGCGCCGAGGCGAAGGTGCGGGCGCAGGCCGCGGGTGCCCGGAGGGGGCTGCTGGGGTCCGTCTGCGTGTCTGGCCACTGGTTTATTCAGCTGAGTTGGGGCCCCGTGTGCCCGGGGCTGTTCTAAGCACCAGGGGTAACGAAGGGGACAGACAGACCCCCCTGTCGGGGAGCTAAATGGGAGGTGAACGGGGAGGCTGCCCGGCGGCTTCGTTCCACCGGAGAACGTAACGCGGGGGAGGCCTCCCGGAGTGCGGCGTCAGGCAGGGACCTGGGTGAGGGGTGCGCCGTGCGGGGGCAGTGATGTGCCGCCTGCCAGCAGCGAGGCACCGCGGTGGCATTTCACATGCTCACCCTCCGCCTCCTGCGAGGACGGTGCACGGGGAGGGACATCGCATGCGGCAGGAACAGCCAGTTCAAAGGCCCTGAGGCAGCTGCTCCCAAGCAGCCCGCCTCCACCTTGTCCTCCCCCTGCTGTCTCCCCCGCAGCTAAACAAGTCGGCCGTCCTGCGCAAGGCCATCGACTACATCCGCTTCCTGCAGCAGAGCAACCAGAGGCTCAAGCAGGAAAACTCCAGTCTGCGCGCTGCTGCGCATAAGAGCAGTGAGTCCTGGCCTCCCGGGCCTTGCTCTGCCCTGCCCCAGCCCCTCTCACCCTACTCTGGCCGTACAAGGCTTCTCTCCCCCCCAGTGAGCCCTCAGAAGCCAATTCCCTCCCCGGGGCCTAAGGTGGTGTGGGCGGGCCTCCGCCCTGCCCCAGCCCCTCCTCTCCTGCCCTAGAGCCTCTGAGGGACCCGGTGCCGGCCTGTGGCGGGAGAGGAGACGCCGCCGTGCCCATGGAGGGCATAAAGCCCGAGGTGGACACGCTGAGCCCCCCGCCCTCGGACGCGGGCTCGCCCTCCCGGAGCAGCCCGCTGTCCCTCGGAGGCAAGGGCGGCGGCAGCGGCAGCGACTCGGAGCCCGACAGCCCCGTCTTCGAGGACAGCCAGGTGGGCTCCCGGCGATGGCCTCCCACCGGGGCCGGGCCAGGAAGAAGCCCGAAGCCTCCCACCTCCATTCATAGTCAGAGAGCCGGAGGCCGCGGGCGCGTGCGGTCCCTAGTGAGGGCGGGCGGAGCGCGGTCCCTCCTGCCCAGGCCACGCTCCGACCTCCGCGGCCTCCCCGCCCCCACAGGCGAAGCCGCCGCCCGCCCACAGCCGGGGCCTGCTGGACCGCTCCCGCCTGGCCCTGTGCACGCTCCTCTTCCTCTGTCTCTCCTACAACCCCCTGGCCTCCCTGCTGGGCAGCGGGGCTCTCCCCGGCCCCACAGGCGCCTCCGGCACCCACCCGGGCTCTGGGCGCAGCGTGCTGGGCACCGAGGACGGAGGTAGGCGGCTGGCAGAGGCGGGGGACGGGGCGGAGGTTCCAGGCCTGTGGGCTCGGGCCTGCGTGTCGGAGCTCTCCCAGCCTCTGTCTGCCCGCAGAGGGCGCCGGCTGGGCGCCGCGGCTGCTGCCCCCGCTGGTCTGGCTGACGAACGGGCTGCTGGTGCTGGGCTCGCTGGCGCTGCTCTTCGTCTACGGAGAGCCGGTCACGCGGCCCCACTCGGGCCCCGCCGTGCACTTCTGGAGGCACCGCAAGCAGGCTGACCTGGACCTGGCCAGGGTGAGGGCTGCGGGGCGGGGCGGGCGGGCCAGGAACCTGCCCTGTGGTCGCGCTCTTGTCTGCTGCTCAGTCTCCCCCGGACCCTCTGCGGGGGGCGCTGGAGGGCCCGTCAGAGCTGGAGGGATGTCAGGCCCAGGGCACTCCCACCTGGCCTCACCCAGAACCTTATTCCAGGGGGACTGCGCCCAGGCCGCCCAGCAGCTGCAGCTGGCCCTCCGGGCGCTGGGCCGGCCCCTGCCCACCTGCCCCCTGGACCTGGCCTGCAGCCTGCTCTGGAACCTCCTCCGCCACCTGCTGCAGCGGCTCTGGCTAGGCCGCTGGCTGGCAGGCCGGGCGGGCGGTCTGCACAGGGACGGTGCTTTGCAGGCAGATGCCCGCGCCAGCGCCCGCGACGCAGCCCTGGTCTACCACCGGCTGCACCAGCTCCACGCCACGGGTAGGCGGGCAAGGAGCTGGGCTGAGGGTTCTGCCGCCTTTGTGCCACCCCAGCCTCATGCCCCGTCATCTCCCAGGGAAGTACCCCGGCGGGCGCCTCACTGCTGCCAACCTGGCGCTCAGCGCCCTGAACCTGGCGGAGTGCGCGGGGGACGCCGTGCCCGCGGCCACGCTGGCGGACGTCTATGTGGCTGCTGCCCTGACCGTCAAGACCCACCTCCCACGGGCCTCGCACTTTCTGACAGTGAGTGGGGGGCTGTGCGGAGTGGGGGCTGCGCGGGGGGACGGGGGGCAGTGCCCGGGCAGAGTGACAGCCACCTCCTTCCCCACAGCGCTTCTTCCTGAGCAGTGCCCGCCAGGCCTGCCTGGCACAGGGCGGCTCAGTGCCCGGTGCCATGCAGTGGCTCTGCCACCCAGTGGGTCACCGCTTCTTCATGGATGGAGACTGGGCCCTGTGCAGCCCCCCGAGGGAGAGCCTGTATAGCTCGGTGGGGAACCCAGGTGCTGTCCCAGCGCTCCCAGCCCCGCCCCGCCCCCAGCCCCGCCCCGCCCCCCAGCCCGCGCCCCGCCCTCCCAGCCACCGCCCCGCCCTCCCAGCCCCCGCCCCGCCCTCCCAGCCCCAACCCCGCCCTCCCAGCCCACCCCGTCCTCCCCAGCCCCCGCCCCGCCCTCAGCCCCCGCCCCGCCCTCCCAGCCCCCGCCCCGCCCCCCAGCCCCCGCCCCGTCCTCCCCAGCCCCGCCCCGCCCTCCCAGCCTTTGTCTCCACTTGAATTTCTTGGCCTCACTCCTGCCATCCCTGCCCCTCAGTCCCTGCCCCTCAGTCATCTCGGTGCCTGGCTGTCCGCCATTGCTTTGGGGCTGGTCTCAGTTGGGCCTCTTCATAGGGAAGGAGGGGTGTGGGGCAGGGGCGGATGTGGGAGGTGACGCCAGGCGGGGGGCAGGGAGGTCCTGCGGTGGAGGCAGGGGCAGGGCATTCACTCACCTCCCCACAGTGGACCCCCTGGCGCAGGTGGCCCAGCTGTTCCGAGAGCACCTCCTGGAGCAAGCCCTGCGCTGTGTGACCCAGCCCAGCCCCAGCCCTGCGTCAGCGGACGGGGACAGGCGAGTGTCCGTCTCACGCCCAGCGGCAGGGGGATGGCTGTCCTGGGGGCGAGTGGAGGTGACGGAGCCAGGAGCCTGTCCGCTCGCCATGGTGGCCTCGGCTCCCAGCCGGGGGGAGTGACGGTGCCCTCGGAGCAGGACGGCGGGCGGTGCTGGGGGGATGTGAAGGCCGGTGCCCTCCCGGACGCCCGGGACCTGCGCCCACCCTAACCCCCGCCGCCCACAGGGAGTTCTCGGAGGCCCTGGGCTACCTCCAGCTGCTGCACAGCTGCTCCGACGCGGCCGCGGCCCCAGCCCCGGCCTGCAGCCTCTCCGTGGGCTCCGGCGTGGCCGCCACCCCCGGTGAGCCCTGGCCCTGCCCTGAGTGCCCCAGCCCTGCGCCGCGCGGGCGGCCCGGAGCGGGGCCGTTTCAGGAACGCTCCCTCCGCACCCGCTCCCCCAGGCGCAGACCCCGTGGCCCAGTGGTGGGCCTCGCTGACGGCCGTGGTGACGCACTGGCTGCGGCGGGACGAGGAGGCGGCGGCGCGGCTGTACCCGCTGGTGGAGCGCCCGCCCCGCGCCCTGCAGGAGTCCGAGTGAGCGCCCCCCCCGCCCCTGCCCCCGGCACCCCCCTCCCCGCGCTGTGCGGTGGGGACCGCCACCGTCTGCCATGAAGCTGGACCCAGGGCGGGGGCTCTGGGCCCGCACCTGCTCTGACCCCCTTCTCCGCCCTGCCCAGGAGACCCCTGCCCAGGGCAGCTCTGCTCTCCTTCAAGGCGGCTCGGGCCCTGCTGGGCTGCAGGAAGGCCGACTCCAGCCCGGCCGGCCTGGCCATCTGTGAGAAGGCCAGCGAGTGCCTGCAGGACAGCCTGGCCACCACCGCAGCCGGCAGCTCCATGGACAAGGTGAGGGCGGGGCGGGGCCCGGGGGTCTGCGGGCCTTTCCAGTCCTTGTCATTCCCTCCCGGGCTGCGGAAGACGGTGGGTCAGCCCAGAGGAGCAGGCCGGGGGCCCAGCTGCTTGGCTGCCTGGCGAGGGCGCGGGTCAGGGCACAGCGGTTACCCTCGGGCTCCCGCCCCTGAGGGTGGGTGTGCAGTGCGGCAGGCGGGCGGGGCCTGGAGAGCGGGCGGCCCCGAGGTGCATTGCTGTTGCATTGCATGTGTGAGGTGGGTGCAGTGCCTCGGCAGTGCAGCCCGGAGCCGGCCCCCGGCACCGCAGGCCCCTCCCCCCCAGGGCCGGAGCCCCGTGACCCTGACCGCCCGCCACCCCCAGGCCATGCAGCTGCTCCTGTGCGACCTGCTCCTCGGGGCCCGCACCAGCCTGTGGCTGAGGCAGCAGCCTGCCGCGCAGGGGCCGGGCGGCGCCCCGGCCTCGGCCCTCGAGCTGCGCGGCTTCCAGCGGGACCTGAGCGGCCTGCGGCGCCTGGCGCAGAGCTTCCAGCCCGCCATGCGCAGGGTGAGTCCGCGCCCACGGGGCACCGAGGCAGCTGGTGTGGGAGGGGGGCCTGGCCCGAACCCCGACTCTCCGGCCCTCCTGCCAGGTGTTCCTGCACGAGGCCACGGCCCGGCTAATGGCGGGGGCCAGCCCCACACGGACCCAGCAGCTCCTGGACCGCAGCCTGAGGAAAAGGGCGGGCGCCTGTGGCAAAGGCGGTGAGAGGAGCCTTCGGGGGCGGGGCCTTCAGGGCGGGGCCTTGAGGGGCGGGGCCTTGAGGGGCTGGGGTCGTTAGGGGGCGGGGCCTTCGGGGCTGGGGCCATTAGATTAGGGGACGTGCTTCCCAGGGCGGGGCCTTGAGGGGCGGGGCCTTGAGGGGCGGGGCCGCTGGGCCAGCCTCATCCTCCCCACCTGGCGTGGGAGCAGCCTGGACAGGGTGTGGCTTGCGGGGGGGGGGGGGCGGGAAGGGGTGCCCGAGGAACCCAGTGAGGCGATGAGGGATGTGCCCACGTGTCCCTGAATCTGTTCCGCGCCCGCCCCAGGGGCTCTGAGGCTCGGGGCGCCTGGGACGGGCGGGAGGGGGGGGAGGCGGCACCTGACGGGCTGTGTGCACCTGCAGGCGCGGCCGAGGCGGAGCTGCGCCCCCGGCGGGAGCACGCCGAGGCCCTGCTGCTGGCCTCCTGCTGCCTGCCGCCCTGCCTGCTGGCGGTGCCCGGGCAGCGCGTGGGCATGCTGGCCGAGGCGGAGCGCATGCTGGAGAAGCTCGGGGACCGCCGGCTGCTGCACGACTGCCAGCAGATGCTCCTGCGCCTGGGCGGCGGCACCACCGTCACCTCCGGCTAGGCCCGCGCCCGCCCCGCCCTGGCGTCCAGCCGCCTCGCCCTCTGGCTGTGTCACGGCTGGAGCCTCGCGTGCGGGAGGCAGCGCAGAGCCCCCAGTGCCTACAGTCCGCCCAGGGGCCCACTGCATCGGCCGGCCATGGGGACGAAGGGGACATCCTTGGCGCTTTTGCCTCTTGACAGGGAGGCCCGAGGGAGCGGGACCCAACGCCCCCTGCCCACTCCCCAACCCGGCGCCGAGGCCAGGATGGTGCTGGCCTCTGGCGGCCGGTCGGGGAATTACAGGGGCCCGCGGGCGTGTGGCCGCTGCTCTGCAGGCACCGGTGGAGGGAAGAGAAGGTGAATGTCACCAGCTGAGGGGCCAGTGGCTCTCCTGGCCGGCAAGGGGCCCTGCTTCCCTCCCGGAGATCTCATCCATCAGGCGCACCAGCCTCCTGGCCTTTGCGGCTCAAGTGCAACTTTGCCATTTATAAACTATTTTCGTAGGTTGAGAAGTTTTGTACAGAGAATAAAAAATGAAGTTATTTATAATCTGGGTTTTGTTTCTTTGGGAGGGTGTGTGCTTCCGCTGACCAGAGGGTCCTGGGTCTTCCCCCGAAGCCAGGTGGAGGCTTCCCTGCGCCCTCTGCCTGGGACTCGTCTCCCTTCCGGGAAAGGCCTGCCCTCAGGGCCCTGTGGTCTGGGCTGTCTTCTCCTCTCCAGCCTCCCCGCCCGCTCCCAGGGTGACGCGGAGCTGCAGGCCAGTCCTCCTGAGTGTCTGGACGCATCCACCTTTCCCCGCCCGTCGTCCAGGCACCTGAGGGGCGTTGGTTCAGTGGCGGAGCTGCTTCCTGTTCCTGAGAAACAGCCAGAAGCCCCCCCTCTGCGTGCCCTGAGCTTCCCCTCCACGTCCGCCCGCTCCCGCAGCCTGGCCGGCCCGGCGGATCTGCTCAGAACCCAGGGCTGCAAACTTCCAAAACAATCGTATCTTTATTGACTTTTTTTCTGAATGCAATGACTGTTTTTTACTCTTAAGGAAAATAAACATCTTTTAGAAACAGCTCGATACACACAATCTTCAGTGTGAAGCAATATACTAATAAGAACACTAGTCTTAACCTTTACAGTCTTCATATATATTATATATATGTATATGTATACATATATATACACTATATAACGAGGCCAGATATAATACACACGTTTACCATTTTACAGTCTATGTACAGGAAGTTGCTAGGTGCCCCGTCTGGGGCCGCCTCAGGCCTATGAAGCACGGACAGTGCGGGGGGCGGGGGGCTGGCCGGGCGGGGGCCGCGTGGGACAGGCCCTCGCTGTGCCCGGGCCTGTGCTGAGGCGTGCGCGACGGCGGTGGCGACACAGAAGCGAGCATATTCCCAATATGTACATTCTATGCAACATGGAGGGAGGGTAACAGGTTCGCCCAGGCCTGCTGCTCTGCTGCGGGCGGCGTGGGCGCTGTGTCCCGGAGGGGGTCGTCAGAGGGACACACCAGCGCTGGAGCTGGGCTCTGGGAGATTCCGGCCCCCCCTCCCCCCGCGGCTCAGGGTGGGTGGAGGATTGGAAAGGGAAGAACAGAAGCAGAAGAGGTGTCCCCAGCCCAGCTGACCCCGGAACCCGCATCCCTTGGGCACGGCCCAGGCTCTGCTCAAACAAGACGGTTTTGGCAAACGCTGGGTAGGAAGGGCACTCGCACATCTGGATGATTTGTGCCAAAGCCTCCGGCCACCCCCTGCAGGCCTAGCCCTCCAGCCCTGCCCTCACCCCCACTCCGAGGAGCCGCCCTGTCACCCCCAGGCCCCTCGGCCCGGCTCCGCGTGTGCGGCAGGCCTGTGCCGTGTGAGGTGCGCCTCTTCCAGGCTAACGGCGCTCCGGCCGGTGTGGGAGGAGAGAATGCTGTCGTCCTCGGGGGCAGCGGCTCCAGAACCTTTGCTTCCCGGCCAGGGACCGGTGGGTCAGCCCGAGGCTGCCGGATCCAGGGCCGGGAGGCCTCGGCCGGCTGTGCAGGGGCCCTCGGTGCGGCGGCAGGCTGAGCTTTCCCAGCGCAGGGGGTTACAGCGGGAGCCTCTGCAGGAGAAGAGGACATGCCTGACACGGACCTGTGTGCAGCCTGCACCCCAGACCCGAGGCCCCAGAGGCCCCCTGAGGGGGGCTGGGGTCTCTCTGGAGGCAGCGGGCCCCTGCCAGGCTCTTCCTTCCTCCCAGCCCTCAGCCGGCCCTGCCCACAGTCCCGTGACCTGCCTGTCCTCCCTGGTCTCCTGCCGGGGGCCCCTCCCTCAGGACCCGCACGCTTTGTAAAGCGTCTTTATGGGCAGCAAGTGCCCATGTGGCCAGGCCAGCGGCTGGGGCAGCAGTGGGCAGGCGGGGATGGCATCTGGAGGAGGGCAAAACCCCCCTCCATCGGTCCAAAGGGTGTGGAGGGGAAAAAGGGAGGGGAGGGAGGGGGAAGGACAGGGAGGGAGGGAGGGAGGGAGACAGGGGAGGGAGGGAGGCAGGGCCCTCCCCAGCCCAGGCCCCTCCGGGAAGGCCTGTGTCACCTACCTTATGCTTGGGGCATTTCAGAGAGAAGTCTTCTTCCGTGAACGTGCAACCTGTGGCCGAGAGAAGTGTGTGGTCAGGCGGCCGCTGGCGCCCCCAGCCCCAGGCACAGGGGTTCTTGCAGAGAGAGATGAGTCAGGCTCCGTGTGAAGCCTCCGCCCTCCGCCCTCCAGCCTGGTGCTGGCCTCGCGCCTCCTACTGGCTCCTCACGGGCACCGCTGGCTCCGGCCTCCCCGACTCCCTCCGCACAGACCCCACCTGGCTCCCCGCGCCTGCGGCACCCTCTCCCGGGGGGTGGGGGAGGCGCCCTAGAAGAGGTTCTGACCCCAACGATGCTCGCTGAACGAATGTTAAGGGACTGGGGGCGCTGTCCAGGGTCTGGATTCAGCACTGGCTCCTCCTCAGAGCCTCGGCCTCCGAGCACTAACAGCCAGGCACCATGTCCACGTGGTGACGAGGCTGCGCACTGAGGCCAGGGCGGGTGTGCACTCGCTCCTGCAGGCCCGGAAGGGGCAGGCCTGCGTGGGCTGAGCACACGCCCACAGGCATCCGAGTGCCAGGGCACTGCTCGCCCTGGGGGAGCAGATTGGTGGCCGAGCATGGCCAGTCCTTGATGCCCTTCTGCCAGGGCTGTGCTGCTGCCCCCGCCCCTGCTGCCGCCTGGGGAGACCCTGGTTCTTCCCTGGACCCTCCCCGCCCCCCACTCCCTCGTGAGCCTGTCCTGGCCTCCCTCCTCTGCCCCCGCCATTGTTCAGAATAAACCCTAAACCCACAGCCAGCCAGCCCAAGCTGGCCACAGGGAGTCCCCTGCCGGTGTGGCCAGCGGTGGTGGCTCTGGGCAGTGGCACCATGACAGCGTGGTGGCTCGTAGGCAGAGGGGGCGTGGGGCAGTCTGCAGGCCGCTGAGGCTGCCTCTTCTTTTCCACCCGAAGCTGGGGCCCTCTCCTGAAAACTGCCACGGGTTCTGCCCGGCAGGGCCAGCCGCTGGAAGTGGTCCGGACTCCCGAGCTCAGGCGAGCGGACGGGGCTGGGGCTGAACTCCCACTTTCCAAAGGGCTAAACCCAGGCTCAGCCACTGCACACAAGGCCCCCACCCCCAGACCACCTGCTGCAGGAGTCGCCAGAAGCCAGGAGAGGAGGCTGCTCTCCCACAACCAGCTTGCTCAGCAGCCTCCAAGCCCGAGCCCGGCCCTGCCCGCTCGGAGCCTGCGCCGGGGAGCCTGCGGCCCAGCTGGCAAGGTGGCCCCCGCTTGCATGTGGAAAGGCAGCCGTGGGGGTCCTGTCCCTGCCCGTCCTTGGGGTCACGGCTTAGCCCCTACGTGGCGGTCCTTAAGGAGACCCGATGAGGCAGGACAGTGAGCGGGCAGCCCCGGGGCCGTGGTCTGAGCCTGACCCAGATCCCCGGAGCCCCCGGTGCCCCACGTGGCAGACCCGGGTCGGGCAGGCGTCAGGCGCTGACAAAGGCTGCCAGCCCCTTAGCCAGTCCCCTCCTCCCAGCTCCTTGCCAGCCGAGCTGCCATGGCCCCAGGGCCACCTCCCCGTGCCCGAAGCCCTCACCTGCTGGCTCTGACTGCTGTGCCTGGGGTGCCCAGGGCTCCCGCTTTCTCCTCTGTGCCCCATCTCCCTCCAGCCTGGCAGCTCCCCGTGCACGTCTGCAGACCCTCCAATGCACCTGCGTGTGGGGATGGCGCTGCCCCTGACGCACCCAGCCTGTGCCGAAGGCTCTGCAGCTCCTGCCCCGGCCGCCTGCTCTGGCTGCAGCTGCAGTCATGCGGTCCCAGGCAGAGGCCACAGGAGCCGGGGGAGCGCCCGGGGGGCCGAGGGCGTCCTGCCGGAGCTGGCCCAGTGCGGGCCGGGGCCCCTGTGAGCTGGCTCAGCCTGCCAGGGGCCGTGCCCTCCTGAGAAAGAGGATGCTGGCAGCAGTGCCTAATGCACTGTGGCTCCCGCCTTTGGACAAGGACGGCGGTTTCCTGTCTGTCCCTCTCACAGGTGAGCTGCGAGGGGCTGGATGTGCCGGGAGGAGAGACCATGCGGTGCGGAGAGCTAGGCGCCACGCCAGGGCTGTGCGCTCTGTGGCCAGGGCGAGGCCGGGTGGAGGTGAGGCCAGGCTCGGAGGGGATGCAGCCTGCGGCAGCTCTGCCTGCGGAGGCGGCCGTGCGCTGGGAAGGGCAGGGTCTGAGGTAACTGGCTCAGTGCTGAGGGGAAGGGCGGAGCCAGCGAGAAGCCCACGCCCCCTCCCCAGCTCCCCCGTCCCTGAGGAGTCCCCCCACAGCCCTCTCTGTGCTCCTGGGGGGGGGGCAGCGGCGTCCAGGAGAGGAGGGCGTGGTCCCAGGTGGTGGGAGGTGCTCCACGTGGGGCCATGAGAACGTCACCCCTTCCAGGCCAGAGAAGCAGGCTCTGGGGGGCAGGGGGGTGTCAGGGGTCGGGGGTCGGGGCTGGCTCCAAACCAGGAGCGAGGCTGCACTG